TCTCATGCATTATGACGATGAAAACCCACATCTGCTAACCACATTCCTAATGGGAAGCAGCTGGTGACAGTTTTGTAGCTCTGTGACTTTCTTTTCAGGAAAATATTAGCAAGGACACAGCAAGCAGTTTAGTTTCAATGAATCCACTTAGTTATGGAAAATCACCAGTGCTTTTTATTGACAGTTATGGAAATTACATAATTTGCCAAGAAATTCAAATACAGTCTAAAAATAAAAAGTCCACTTTTACCCATCACCAGTTCTAACAGAATTTTCAGTGTCTCAGAATTTTATCGTTTTTTCTTTTTGTTGTAATGTGGATCAAACCCAGGGCCTCATACATGCTAGACAAACATTAAACCACTGAGCTACCTTCCCGGCCCAGAACTTTTTCTGTGTGGTACTGGGGTTTGAATTCCAGGGCCTCATGCTTGCTAGGCAAGTGCTCTTAGTGCTTGAGCTGCTGCACTAGCTCTTTTTTTTTTTTTGTGATGGCTTTTTTTCCAAGACAGGGTCTCGAGAACGATTTGTCACATATCTTCTTAAACTGCATAGTCTCCCTGTGGAGAAATGCTCTACTTTCTTGTCTATGATCCTTACCTGGTACCTAGTCACCAACTCCTAAGGAAGTGGTCATCCTCTGTGGACCAGCCTTGCTGGTTTTAAAAGCCACATGCTTTCAGTAGTATGGGAGGCCTGCTTGCCCCTGCAGCCTCATTTTCCTCTATTTCCAGTGGATACCATGTTTCAACCACATGGACTTACTGGTCTTCTCTTGAGAAGGCAATGCTCTTTCTCGCTTCAGGCCTGTGCTGAAAATGCTCCAGGAATTCCCATCCCCTTCCACCTGCTAAGAAGCACCAACTCCAAGAGTAATTAGCTCAAGGACCACCTCCATCTCCAACCCAATCAAACCCTACTGGTTAAGATGCCTCTTCACTGTAGTTCAGTCATGCAGCATCACTGATCTATTTGTTTCTCTCCAACGAGGCTATGAAGTCCTTGAGGACTGAGAACATAACTTTTTTTCTTTTTAACCTGTTGCTGGTGCACAGTATGTAACAGGCACTCAACAGATCTGTTAAGTATTGAGTTCTGTAACTTTCCAAAGACATAGATTGACACAATGTCAAGGATGAATATCTAGATCTGCACTGTCCAATATGAAGGCCATCAGCACATGTGGCCTTTAAAAAACGAACTAAAATTAAAAACTCAATTCCTTCGTCACATTAGCCCCATTTCAAGTGTGCATGTGTGGCTAGTTACCTTTTTATTGCGTACGATAGCGAACATTCATTACATCACCACAGGAAGCTTATTGGACAGTGCTGACCTCCATCAAAAAATACCTTAAACTATGAAAGAAAAGTACACATTAGAAAAAGTAGAAAAAAAAGATTATAAACATGCACTTTATGCCCCCAAACAGCCAAAAAGGAGCAAGAGCCTCATTAATAAACAGGGAACTGCAAAATAAAATATCCTGTTTTTCACCCATTACTGGGCTTAAAATTAAGTCTTATCAATGTACTGGCAATGTGTAAGGAAATGAGTACTTTAGAATACTGATGGGAAGACAGCCAGTCTGAAGGGCAATTAAATGTGAAAAAAAGGGGGAGTTTGAGCTAGCATTTCCATTCAGAAACCAAACCCAAACGCTCCAATGTGAGCAGCATATTGTTGGTTATAACACTGTATGATTAACACAGATGAGGTGCCCATAGAACCCAGAGCTATAGCCAGATTAATGCTCACCTAGAGCAAGAAATGCTGAAATACCTTCCCTGCAGTCCACAAAAGGGCAAAGATTTTGCACACCAAGCCTGCTAGTCATATTTGCAATCAGGGCCCTACAACTAAACCAGAGGAGGAATAACCCTGAGTGCGGCCTTCTAATCCACCAAATGACTATGATCATGAGAATCACTTCCTTCCCTCTTGGTCTCCATTTCCCTGCTTCATTCCCCACCCCCAAATAATCAGAAAAGTTCCATTTTCATATACAGTGAATACTATGGTTCACAATAAAATTCCACTGGAATTTGTTGGGTTTGGGTTTTTTTTTTTTGTTTTTGTAGACCTGGGAACAGAAATCCACACCTTTGTGCATGCTAGGCAAGCCCTCTAGCCCTACGCCACATCTCCAGCTATTTAAGGTCTTGTTTTTGTTTTGCCATAATAGTTTGAACTCAGGGCCTACACCCTGAGCCACTTTACCAGCCCTTTTTTTGTGAAGGGCTTTTCGAGATAGGGTTTCCTGAACTATTTGCCCAGGCTGGCTTTGAACTAAGATTCTCCTGATCTTTGCCTCCTAAGTAGCTAGGATCCAAAGGTGCCCAGCTTGAAAAAAGTTTTGATGCTCAAAAGCAAGCTATAAAAAACCCACACTATATGGTTTTTCTTTAGATTCCTCCAAGATTTTAATTTTTTGTAGTCTAAATTACTGTACCTCCATGGTACATTCATTCATAGATCAGATTACCAACTAGTATATGGGAAAAACGAATTGGAGGGCCAGCAAAAAAAGATTATTCCTCAGCAAAATTTCTCAGTAGAAACCAGGTATGAGCAGTAGCCTGCAATGCTCAAAGTAGAAACAATGCCGAGGATGAAAGTGCCCAAGAAGCCCGTTTACACAAATCCCCAAAGTACAGGAACATGCACTGAAGTATTCTTATTTAACGCTGGCTGGCCTTCCCTAATTTTTTTTACTTGGTTTTCTACTTAGAAGAATTTTGAGACCCAAAGCTCTTATTTCCCATACCATATGACCAGAAACCTTGCAAAGAAAAGCTTCCAATTTCGTAAGTTTTACTTCTTTACTCAGGTGATCTGTGAACCTGTTGTCAGAAGTATATCCTCCATAATCCACGAGGTTTTAGATATGGTTAACTGGGCTATGAGTACAGCTCAGCGGTAGTATTCACCTAGCACGTTCAAGGCCCTAGGCTCGCTCAATCCCCAGCACTGCAAAAAAAGTTAAGTAAATCAAGTCATAAACTAGACTCCAGATAATAATGATTCCCTGAATTAACAGGTGTATAGCCAGTGAGGAGCAAGTGAGTCAAGAGTTCAGGCATCTCAGTTTCCCTGTGTTTATAGTCAATGTAGTCCAGGGTCTTGAACTCTGGTTTTATTTTTAAATTTTTCAAATTTTTGATGGTACTGGGGGTTTGAACTCAGGTGCTCTACCACTGGAACCATTTCCTTAGGCCTTTGTCCTTTACTTATCCTTTGGGGAAGGTCTCATGTTTCTGCCCAAGGCAGGCCTGGACCACAATCCTCCTACTTAGGCCTCCCATGTAGTTGAGATAACAGGTGCATGCCACCACACCCAGCTTGTTTGTTGAGATGGAATCTTGCTAACATTTTCCAAAGCTGGCCTCCAACCGTGAGCCTCCAGTCCTTACCTCCAGAGTAGCTGGGATTATAGACACGAGCCACCACACAAGTCTGAGCTTTTGTTTACCACACAAAAGACTTAAATCATTTTCTTAGGAAGGCCAAGATGGTCTACACTACTAAAAAGGTTACCAAAAGTCCGATCTAATGCAGATTGAGGGCAAATGCCTTATACTTCTGAAAGAAATTTTATTGCATAGATCACTTGTCACTGTAAAACCTAAACAGGTATGGCAGAAAAGTGGTGACTACTGTAAACCTCATTATATCTGATCCTTCCCTTTTATCAAACCTGATACATTGTCCAGTATGTCGTAAGTGGGCTCTGCTTGGCAATCTGTAAATTTTCTCACCACATATGTGCCTTAAACTCTTAACTTGTTTCCCCTACATGGAGTGAGGGTGGGGTTCATCTTAGCAAAAGAGTTTCTCACCAGCATTTACATGACGCCATAGGACCCATAAACTTCTTTGCCCATAACTTAGCCCACCATTCCTCAAACAAAATGCACAAAACCACACATACTGCGTTTCTGCAAGAGGCAAGAGAATACATCCACTGAGTTGGGAAAGAAATCTATTTGCTTGGTTCAGGTTAACTACCGTTCTTATTCTAATTTAAAGATCACATTAAAACTCGTCAGTTAACACCCATGGGAATAACAATGTCAAAGCAGGTAGAAAGAGAACAGAAAAAGGTGACATATATAGTATGTGGTGGGCCAGCTCTCACACCTCCACCTCCACTCCTGTTCCCCAATAAAATCCCTGCCCCAGTGTTTCCTTACCTGTGAAACTGGCATAATGGATAATAGACTGATAACAACCTTTTTTTCTGGCACTGGGGTTTGAACTTGGGGCTTTGCACTTGCAAAACAGGCACTCTACTGTTTAAGCCCCATCTCCCATCCTTTTTGTTTTCCAAGATGCTGGGATCAAACACAAGGCTTTGTGCTAGGCAGGCACTCTACCTCTGAAGTTATATCCTTAGCCCCCTAACTTTTCTTCTTTTAAAGTTAAAATGGCTGGGCACAGTGACTTATGCCTGTAATCTCAGTTACTCAGGAGGCAGAGATGGAGATGATTGTAGTTTGTGGCCAGCCTGGGCAAAAACGTGAGACTCTATCCAAAAAATAAAGCAAGAAAGGGTTAGAGCATAGCTCAAGTAGTAGAGTGCTTGCCTAGCAAGTGGGAGGCCCTGAATTCAAACCCTACTACTGCCAAAAACAAAACAAAGCAAACCCCAGTACTGCAAAAATAAACAACCTACAGCCAAAGACATCTTATGATGCTCAAATCGAAATTCTTTCATGAACTGTAAGGCTGATTATGGTACTAGTAATGAGAGATCTTGAGTACTAATGCTGGGCAGGATCCCTGCCTTTGCATAGGCTGCAGGCTGGCACACAGTGATGCCCTATGCTCTCTGAAGCCTTAGGCACATGTGAGGGAACAAAGGGCACATATCTTTGTTTTTTCCTCAGACTGTGGTCTAAATTACACACAGGACCCTGAAAAGACTGGATGAATGTGTGGCTCATCAGGACTACATCCCAGGAGTTTTATAGTGAACCTCCATTCTCTTTCATGATTTATAATGACAAGCCCTAAAGAATAATTTTGTTTATTATCATGATTTGTGAAAACAAACAGGGCAGACAGTTCAAAAAAGGACACAGTGCCCCTTTTTAGGTTCCAAATTTCTTCTTCTTGATGGGTGGTGGAAGCTGGGCGATGATGTCATCCAGGGGTCGTTCTACTGCCACAAGCGTCCTTTCATCCAAAAGATCCATGAAGAGTAAGGGCTGCAGAGAGAAGATAGTTATGCCAGCAGGATCGCTGAACAAGTAACCAAATCCAATCCTGAATAGAGTAACTAGCGCTCAAAGGTTAGTCCTGTGCAAGGCTCAAAGGGTCCAAAGCAATCTCTGACAACTTTTCTTACCCTCAGACTTAAAAAAGTTGGGAAGGTTTTAAGATTGTGAACTTTTGTGTATATGTGTGTGTGTGTTACTGGTGTTTGAACTCAGAGCCTTGTGCTTGCTAGGTAAGAGGTCTGCCACTTGAGCCGTGCCTCCAACCAGATTGTGAACTTTTAACTGAGTTTACTTATCACAAGTATGACTATGGAACTTCTGCATTGGATCAGATAAGCTCAGTGAGTATTTGTTTTATACACAGTTAAAAAGGCTAGCCAGAAAAGAGAAATTCACAATAAATTCAAGTACTTCCATTTCTTGACATTTTTGTAAAACATTTTCCAACTATAAGTCAAAATGAAAAGGAATAGGCTGGAACTAGGGGGTGGCTTAAGTGGTAAAGTGTCTGCCTAAGAAGTGTGAAGCTGAGTTCAACTCCCCAGTATCTCCCTCTGCCCCAAAAACCAAAATAAACAACCTCCCTGCCAAAACAACCCCAACAGAACAGGCATGGTGGTACAAGCATATAATCCCAGATATTCAGGAGGCAGAGATTGTGATTTAAAGTCAGATCAGGGAAAAAGTTAGCAAGATAGATTCCATCTCAACAAACAAGCTGGGTATGGTGGTAAATGCCTGTAATCCCAGTTATGTGGGAGGCACAGATAGGAGGATTGAAGTCTGAAACTGCCTGGGGCAAAAATGTGAGACCTTATCTCAAAAATAAAGCAAAAAGGGCTAAAGCATACCTCAAGTGGTAGAGCACCAGCCTAGCAAGTGAGGCCCTGAGTTCAAGCCCCAGTACTGCCAAAAAAAAGGACAAGTAGAAAGTGGACACACCAACAAAGACCCTCAGCCAAGCACCAACTTCATGCATTTCATTTGTGGTAAGAATGATGCACCTGCCTACACACACAAGGTATAGACAATTGCAGAAAGGTCCCTTGTAAGAAACCAAAACAAAAACAGAGCTTATTATGTTTTCATAACATCACAGGGAACCAACTAGCCAGAGTGTAACACACAACATTTTACCTTATATATCTTAGACATTTTAAAGGCATGGCCAGTGCGCCTCCGGAAAACATCTGATTCATTTGTGGGAGGAAGTGGATTGTAGAGTACAGTTTTGTCATTGGGAAGAGGCTAAAAAGACAAATATGAATTATTTAAGTTGTTACTTTTATTGCCTAGCATGCTTAAGGCCCTGTGTTTGAACCCCAGCACCAGCCAAAAAAACAAAAAAAACCCAAGACACAAAAAGTTACTTTTATTGGGCTTCTACAGACCAAAGCACTATAGTGGTTTTTCAGGCCAATACCATCTTCTAACCTTCATGCTATACAGTCACTACCTCCTTGACTGTCCTTATTTCAGCAAGAGAGCAACAGCACGCTTCTACACTGCAGAGGTGGGAAGGATGGGGCAAGAGAGAGTGGGGTAGTTGTGCTGGCAAGATCAAAAGGCATGCTGGGGCTCCTGGCCAGTCTTACCAATAACAATCTGTTAGAAAGGAACAAATCTGTATGTGCAGGAACTCAGCCCAGCAGGCTCTGTGCTTTCTAGAGTCTTCTCCAACCATACTACATACTGTCCAAGTGACTAAAGTCCTCCCCAGGTGAAACGTCAACACAGTCCACCCCCACTGATGTCACTGACAGCTTAAGGGATGGCCTCTGGCCGAACAAATGATAGTTCACCTCTGACTTCTTTGGGAAGCGGTATCCCCAGTATGAGGGCGTAATGGACTTAATCCCCAGGAACCTGGGAAAAAGTGATCTGGACTGAGTTACAGAGGCAGGAGAGTGGGAGGGGCCCTTCCTGTACCACTCATCTCATAAAAGGCACTTGTCAGCCAGCTCTGCTTCCCACACCCAGGACATAGGGCTCACAGATGAGTCTCAGTGACACATCCTATGCACACCTCCTTTAGAGCCGTCTGCTACTTTACCCACGCTCTTTCCACCCCCACCTTCATAGATACATGGAAACAGCCGGTGTTGGTTATAATCTAAGCCCAAAGTGCAGTGCAGGCACAGCTGTGGCCCACAGGGCTCCTAGGAAAGAGAGCCCCTGCCCAAAAAAGACATTTAAATTTGGGGTGAATCAAAACAGCAGCTGGTAAAGAGGCTGGAATCTCAAACTGAAGAAAATGCTCACATCCCACCTAAATCATAGTCATGAAGACCAGAAATTTCCTGGCTGAACTTTACTCAAGACATTGAGACCCATTCCTCAAGCCTGCTAAATATCTTCAGCCAAGTGGTAGAGTGCTCAAAGTATCAGGAATCTCCTGATTGAAATCACCTTACTAAGTCACCCTAGGATTCAAAGCTGAAAGTCAAATCAGCCAAATCTACAGTGTCCCTGAAAAGAGTCACCTTCTAAATACTTTCCTAAGTTAAATAGAGAAATAGCCCAGCAGCAAAAACCAGTGAAGACCACCTCTTCAAAGTGGGAATGGAAATGAGGTATCTGTCAAACGAAAGCTCCTCTTCTCCAAAGAACCTATGAGGAACTTTTATGGATTCTCCTTCCTCTATCTAGTCAGTCATGTTTTGAACATAAATACTCCTATCAGTGGTGGTAGTGAGGACTCACCAACGACTTATCAATGATACAGAACATGTAGGCATCGTGGAGAAGGATGTGCATTGGTCTCTTGGGATGAAAACTGATGTGCGTGATGGGAGTATCCCTCTGGAGCCAAAGGTGGTGAAAGCCCTGCTTCTGGACATTCCGGCTCCACTCTGTGTACTGTTTGTCTGGGATGTTGTACTCAAATATCTGAGGAAGGAGACAACAGAAAATCCAGGGGATCTTGGCCCTTTCTGGGTTTTATCCCTCGTTCCTAACCACAAAATATCTAAACAAACTTTGACTGCATCATATTCAGTCTTACAGTTTCTCACCACTTTTTTTTTTAATAAAAAATGTTTTTAGGGCTGGTGGAGGGGCTCAAGTGGTAGAGCACCTGCCTTGCAAGCATAAAGCACTGAATACAAACTACAGCACAACCAAAAATAAATAAACAAAATATTTTTTAAAAGGTAAATTATTATAGAATAAGTCACTCTGTTATCTTTTTTTTTGGGTGAGAAATCTATATCTATACATACATATATATTTATCTCAAGATCACTCATGTCACTTTTAAAAATTATTTACAATTGGCATACAATATTTATATTCACATATGATGTAGAGTGTCCTAATTCAGTACAGGAATACAATGTGTAATGATTAAATCAAGGAAATCAGCATTTCCATCTCATCAAATATTATTATTATTATTTTTTTTTTTTTCAGAACTGAGGTTTGAATTCAGGGTCTTGTACTTGCTAGGCAGGCAGTCTACCTTTTGAGCCCCATCTCCTCCTGTAAATATTATCTCTATGTGTTAGGGACTTTCAAAACTCCTCCCCAGGCCAGACATGGTAGTACACTCCTGTAATTCCAGCTACATGGGAGATGAAGATTGGGAAGACTGAGGTTCAAGGCCAACCCAGGTAAAGAGTTCACAAGACCCCATCTCAACCAACGAGGTAGGCATGGTGGTATGTGCCTATGATCCCAGCTACTAAGGAGGATCATGGCCCAGGCAAAAGCGTGAGACCCTATCCAAAAAAAAAACCTAAAGCAAAAATGGGTAGGGGTGTGGCTCAAGTGGTAGAACACCTGTTTAACAAGCATGAGATCCTCAGTTCAAACTCCAATATCACCCTCCCCCCCAAAAAACATCTCTTCTCCAGTTGTATGGAAACATACAATTGTTAGTTGTACCCCTTTTGAAGAACACATAATAATTTATTCACTTCATGGATGTATCATGATTTACTAATTTTGTCTGCTAAATAGACATAGGTTCTTTACAATCTTTGGCTACTACAAACGAGGCTGTGAAGAAATATCTCTGTACAACTGAACGTATGTACAGGAACAATTCTTAGAAGTGGAACTTCTGAGAGAAAGCCTACATAGGGGCTGGAGGTATGGCTCAAATGGTAGAGTGTCTGCTTTGCAATTGTGAAACCACAGGTTCAAATTTCATTCCTGCCTCCCCCCACCCCCACCACCCCCCAAAAGCAAGCATACATAGGTTTAAAATTTTTGAAGATACTAGCCAGGTGCCAGTAGAGTGCCTGTAATCCTAGCTACTCAGGAGGCAGAGATCAGGAGGACTGTGGTTCAAAGCCAACCCAGGCAAGTACTTTGAGAGACCCTATCTCAAAAACACCTAACATAAAAAATAGGCTGGTGGAGCGGCTCAAAGTGTAGGTCCTGAGTTTAAGCACTAGTACCATAAAACAAAACAAAACAAAACAAAAAACCTGCCAAAATGTCCTCCAAAGGGATATTAATTTATGCAGCATATGAGAGGGCTGCTTCCCTATACACTTACAGCAGTGTATATTATCAACTCTGACCTTTGCTAATCTAACAGGTAAAAAAATTCTCCAGTATTTTTGTGTGTTTTTGTTTTTATATGCCAGCAGGCTACCAGTTTTTTTGTTTTGAACTCAGGGCCTGTGCTTGCCTCTGACACACTTCTAGTCCTTTTTTGGTTTAGGTATTTGTCACATAGGATCTTGCATTCATGCCTGGACACGATCTACCTATTTATGCTTCCCACTTAGCTGGAATGATAGGTGTACACCACTGTGTACAACTCTGTATTGGTTGAGATGGGGTCTCTCAAACTTTTAGCACAGAGGTGGCCTGGAACCATGATCCTATTGATCTCCCCGTCTCAAGTAGCTAGGAAAACAGGGTTGTAATACTACCCCCAGCTTGTATTTTAAAGAGCTCCTTACAACTTAACATGAAAAAAAGCAGTAGAGTAAGCTCGGTTGAGAGTTGGGTACACAATTTCACTAAGGTCTAATTTCTTCATTTGCAAAGTGAAGGTAAATTTACACTTTTTGTCACTTTTGACTGTCAAAATCTTATTCTACTCTATATTTAGTTTGATACCTGAGCCCATATCATCTCTAAATCAGTGGAATGAGTACTTCAAAAATTCTTCCCTGCCTCTTGTGCTTTACTCTAGGACTATAGTGCTTCACCACATGAACTGTGCCCCAACTGACCAATACTGTCTATATTAAGCCCAGGCAATGTGTGGAAGCTTCACTTCACACAGGCAAAACCTACTTGTATGTCCTCTAGCACCTTCAAAGAGAATCTCCCAAACTGTCTATTATGTCAGCTTCAAGAAAGCACTGGAATCTCTCTTACCTGCTGATCAGAATGAGCGATGACAAGGTTGTTGGTATTGGGAGCAATAGCCAGAGCAGTCACTGGAAAATTGTAAGCAGGCACGGTGCAGTGCAGCTGAGAACAAATAGGCAAAAGGGTCAGTTCTGTAGGACTCCTTCCCCCAAGAAAGGCCAGATGGTATAGGTCAGTTGGTTTTTTTTTGGCTGGGGAATCAAACCCGAGGCCTTACGCATGACCAGCAAGTGCTTACCACTGAGTTATACCTCCAGCCTCTAGGTCAGTTGTTTTTAAATACTGCCCCTTTCAAAACTCAAAAGGTTCGACAGAAATTCTGATAAACTTCAAGCATTTCACCATCAATGAACTTTAATTTCATTAAAAAAAATTACATATTTAACTGCTTGCAAAAAAATAGATGGCTAATTGTTTACAAAACTGAGCATTTTCAAAGAATTCAAGAGTAAAGCTTTTCCCTCAGAATAAATTTGTCTGTATGAATTGTTCATAAATGTCATTAATCAGGGAACATATATCTTCACATAAGAAACTAACAGCTGTAAGGGAGGGGGTGGGGGCAGGGGGGAGAAATGACCCAAGCCTTGTATGCACATATGAATAATAAAACAATTAAAAAAAAAAAAGAAACTAACAGCTGGGGATGGATATATGTACAACTGTAGGCATATGAGCATGCATAGGAACTTTTTTTTTTTACGGACTGGGGTTTGGACTCAGGACGGACACCTTGAGCCACTCCACCAGCCCTTTTTGGTGATGGGATTTTCAAAGATCGTTCTGGGTCTTTGTCCCAGGCTGGCCTTGATCCAAGATCCTCCTGATCTCTGCCTCCTGAGTAGCAAGTATTACAGGCCACTGTCGCCCAGCAGGAACTTGCTTAGCAAGTTCAAGAACCTGAGTTCAAACCTCAGTACCACCAAACACAAAACAAAACAAAGCCCCAAAATTTGTTTTAAATGCCAGGTACTGTTCAAAGAAATGTTCAGTACACGCTCCTGCCACAATGTAATAATAAAGATTAAGTTATGCAATAACAGCAAACCATAAAATGCTACAGTTTGGTATGTATAAAGTTTAATGCTTAATCTGAATTTTATGATAAAGGTGAGAACTCAAAAGGAATTATTTAGGACTCAATAAATGAATGATGGTATCATTACTGATCAAAGTGTTTTCTTACTGGGGGAAGGGGATAGGGAGAGAGCAACAGAGAATATTAATCTGATCAAAGTACAATCAATATATGTGGTGTGAAATACCATATGAATCCCCTTTGTACAATTAATATACACTGATTTTAAAAAGTCCTAAACCAGGTGCCGTTGGCTCACACCTGTAATCTTAGCTACTCAGGAGGCAGAGATCAGGAGGATCTTGGTTCCAAGCCAGCCTGGGTAAATAATTCTTGAGACCCTATCTCAAAAAAAAGAAAAAACAAAAAAAACAATCACAAAAAAAGGGCTAGTGGAGTGGCTGGCTCAAGGTGTAGGCCCTGAGTTCAAGGCCCACTATGGGGGGGTGGGGGGTTGGAGGCAGGGTGTGTGTGTGTGCATGTGTGCATGTGTGTGAGTTCTATAGAGTAATGGAAGGGGTTGAATAGGCCAAAGTATGCCCACAGTGGGGATACAATGAGAAATCCCTTTGAACATCAACCCAAATATCAATAATAAAAAACAGGGCATTAAAATAGGTACAGTGTTTGTGTGTGGGGGTACAAATGGAGGGGGAAGGTAAATGAAGGAGATTAAGGTGCAGGTATATGGCTGATGAATTTCATATGCCTATATGAAATAGAGCAAAGACAACTCTTGCAATTGTTTTAAGTGGGGGAGGGAGGGGAGTGGTGGGATAGATGATGGGGGCAATGAAACTAATGCACAATATAAGCCTAATCAGAATTGTCATTATGAATACCCTCCTGCATAATACATTGTAGTAAAAATTAAAAAAAACCACTATAGGATGAATAACCCAGTTTCTCCTGGGTGAAATGAAAGGGCAATAAAGAGATGTAGGGGAGTTTACAAATTAAAGAGACTTCTGTGATTCAACTATCAATAACAATGCATGGGCATTACTTAAAAATCCTAACTCTAAGAAACAATCAAAACTTCACAAAAAAATCCAAATTTTACAAGTGGTATTTATGAAATTTAAATATTGACTTTCTTTAAATATGTTCAAGAACTATTTTAACTTATTTTACATGTACAAATAATGTGATTTTGTTTTTTAAAAGTTACTTTCCTAGCCAGGCACTAGTGGCTTACGCCTATAATCCTAGCTACTCAGGAGGCAGACATCAGGAGGATTATGGTTTGAAGCCAGCCCAGGCAAATAGTTAGCAAGACCCTATCTCAAAAAAACCCATTACAAAAAAAGGGCTTAGGAGACCCTAAGTTCAAACCTCAGTACTGAAAAAAAAAAAAAAGTTATTGTCTTTTAGAAATGCACAATGAAATATTTACAGAAGATATAATGTAATTTCTGGAAGCAGGGCAGAAAATAGATGAAGCAAGACCTTCCAGGGGTCGTCACAATTTGAGCCAATGTGACAGTAAACCTCATTACTCTACTTTGATGTATGTGCTACACTTCCATAATAAAATAAGTGTTTTTTGAAATGTGGAAAAAACTTTTCCTACTTTTTTTTTTTTTTTTAAATTCCTGGGTCCGTTCACCTTGTTACTATCTATTTAACTGTGCATGTCAGAATTTTCCCTCCCTCTAATATAGAAATAACCTGGATATGGCTTCATCACCCACAAATCCTTAATTAATTTCAAACTTCTGTGCATGAACAGTTGCACTGTTTCCACTGACTGATTTTAATGTTACAGAGTATAGGTTCTGGATTCCAAAGAAGTAAAACAGGAATCTGAAAGAGGAAAAATTCTTGGTTAAAAAAAAAAAAGTCTAGTAAATTTCCAGGTTACTCCAATCTGCCTTGGATCTCTACTACTCAGACCGCTGTTAGGAAATTCTGCACTCACCTTTAAATGCTTCAGACTGTATACGTGCACTCCAGCACTGGTACCTGATGCAGCTAGCCAATCCCCATCTGGACTGACTGCCAAAAGACACATGGCCTCCACTGTCCCTGTGAGGGCAGAAGATCAATCATGTCTCTGAATTCCATGTTAACTGAAGACAACAGAGACCAATGAAACCGCGGAGTTTTAAATCATTCACAGGTCATTGAGAGTTTTACAAATTAGTTCTAATAGTTAACATATCCACTTTTTTTTTTTTTTTGCAATGCCAGGGTTTGAACTCAGGGCCTCATGCTTGCTTGCTAGGTAGGCTCTCTACCACTTGAGCCATTCGCCAGTTGTTTTTTGCATTGATTATTTTTGAGATAAGGTCTTGTGAACTGTTTTCTTCAAATCTTGATCCTCCTGATCTCTGCCTCCTGAGCAGCTAGGATCACAAGTGTGAGACACTGGTGCCCAGCAACATATCTACTTTTAAATTTAATTAGCTACCCTCACCTAAAGGGAAGCTAGAAAAATAAAAACTGAAAATATTACTGGCTCAGGCCTGAGTAAGACATTTTCAACTGTATGGTAACAGAATCAGGATAGCATTCATCAGTAAGTTCTATATGTTAATGTCCCAAACTCCTTTTTAATACAAGACTTTTTTTTTTTTTGGTATGACTGCGGTTTGAACTCAGCACTTCTGGCACATCTCCAAGTTCATTTTGCTCTGAATATTTTGGAGATGGGGTCTCCCATATTATTTTCCCAGACTGGCCTCAAGCCATGATCCTCCTGATCTCAGCCACCCAAGTATTTAGGCTAACAGGCAGGAGCCACCAGTGCCCTGCTCTGCTAGGCATTTTTAAATCAGTGTTATGGACACACAGCAAGTCCCACAAATTGAAACATACCTTTAATTTTTAGGTACCTACTGTCTATTTAGCATTAAGGAAGGATGAATATTTACTGCTATAGCACTAAGGTACACATATGAGCCTCTTGTCATCAAGGGATTTCAATTTGGCAACATCAAGATGTGGGCTAAAAATCAGACAGTGATGCTAGGTATGGTGGTTCATTCTTATAATCCCAGCACTCAGAAGATTGAGGCAGGAGTACAGTAAATTCAAGCCCAGGATTCTATATGCCAAAATATATACTGGACCTAGTACCACCAAAACAATGAAAAAGCTTCACAACAAGACGTAAACCTGCTGCTAAAGGATGGGTGTGGATACCATTTCTGAAGGCAGAACATACAGGTTCTGCCTGTATAATACAAAACATAATACAGGTACCAAACAAATAATGTTAGGTTTTCGTTTTTTTTTTTGGGTGGTGGGATGGGGTTTGAACTCAGGACTTCATACTTGCAAAGCAGGCACTCTATTGCTTGAGCCACACCTCTAGTCCATTTTGCTCTGGTTATTTTGGGGATGGGGGGGGGTCTCATGAACTATTTGCCTGGGATGGTCTCAAACCACTATCCTTCCAATCTCAGCCTTCCAAATAGTTAGGATTACAGGCATGAGTCACCAGCACTCAGCATGTCAGTCTAACTTATCTGTTAAATGATAGGTTTCTTTTCTATGCTCCTGGAGCAGCTTATGAGTTAAAAGAGTTGATTTCCCATTCTGATGGAGTCTTAATGATAATGACGCAGGTAAAAGGCAGGGCAAGGGTTAAAGGTAAGAAAGGCCCATGGGAAGAATCCAACCACCAGCTAATGTGGATGTGAAATCTAAAGTCCTCAGCAATAGTTCAATTACTGATGTTCTCAAGAGACATGAAAAAATGAGCATGAAAGCAGGCCTGGTGATGCATGCTTATGATGCCAGCACTCAGGAACCTGAGGTAGGAGGATCAAGAGTCCTAGACCAGGAATGGAGGTGTGGCTCAAGTGGTAGAGCAACTGCTTTGCAAACAAGAAACCCTAAGTTCTAACCTCAGTCCCACCACAAAAACAAAACAAACAAAACAAAAAAATGTCCTAGACCAGCATGGGCTACACAGTGAGACTGTCTCAAACAAAACAAAAACCCCAAATGGTCATGAACATTAAATGAACATAGGTAATAGAACTATGCATAAGAATTTTTCACCTTTATATAAACACATAACCACAAAAAAAAAGGTAACACAAAATCTCTATATAATAACACACATTGCAAAATACCAAAATATTAAGAGTAGTTATTTCTGGGTATGAGGATTACGGATGACTTTAACTTTCTTCTTATGCTGTTAACAAAGCTCTAAGGATGATGAAACTTCACTGGCCCCAAATAAGGCATCAAAAACCCAGTCAGAATAGAACAGGCGTGAGGAACATTTCAGATCTCACAGAGCATCTTCATCTGCCAGATCGCTCCTCCTACTTTAAATTGCAAACACATGAGTGAGTGTATTTGCAGAGTGGGAAGAGTATGAAGAAATACAACCCCCCTGCTGACAACACACAAGTGTTAAAAAAAAAAAAGTTACATCTGAGACACCAAGAAATCTCCCCTCTGGCCAGTTAGAAAACTCCTACCCGACTGAGGCTGAAAAGTATGCAGGTGCTTGAAGCCTCCTTCTACCAGCTGAATAATATGTAGAGACCCTTGATTTGATGCCACCAAGAGCTTTGATGAATCTTCAGTAAACAAAATCTGAACGGCAGAGCGAAGGAATGCTGGCATTTTTGAAACCTTTGGGTAAAACCAACAGTGAAAGCCAGTGAGAAAGAGTAAACCAAAACCAAATACTACCAGGCTTAAATTACATTAATGCTTATCCTCTTAAAGCAAGCTAATTAACCAAGGGCCTAAAACAATGGCATGCCTCTTGCCTCCTACAACTGAGACAGATACAGACCCCTTTACATCCTTGACAGTAAATACTCAATTCTGTACCATGGAAAAAACTAAGTTACATAGGTAACCACTAAGCAAAAGCCTGTATCTACTGTTACTTCTGGCATTTCCCTACCTCTTCTAAAACACCATCAATTTAAAGTAGAAATAAATAAGATTGCTTTGCTAGGAATTTTCCATCCCTCCTGTTTTATTTTTTATTCTTTTAATTTTTTTTTTTTTTGTAGCACTGGGTATTGAACGCAGGGCTTTGCAGAAAAGATGGTTTTATAATAGCTGTCATCAGATAATTTTTCACTGAGTAAGGATTTTCATCCAATCCATGACCACTGCAAACAAAAAACACACTTAAGGAAGTTTCTTCTTCTGCAACCACATACTGGGCTTCCACTTACCCTTTGGAGGCTTATGTTGTCACGTTCATACTTCAACCGGTAGAGAAAAAAACGAGATGCCGTAGAATAGGCTATCCAACTTCCACATGGGGAGAGGCAGCTGCAAATAGTGTTTTCGGGGCCCTGGCAACAGTATGAAGATGAGCTGTGCACAAAATTTCCTTTCTTTTGTTTTCTGCGGTAATGGGGCTTGAACTCAGAGCCTACATCTTGAGCCACCCTACCAGCCCTTTTTTGTGCGATGGGTTTTTTTCAAGATAGGGTCTTGCAAACTATTTGCCCCAGCTGGCTTCAAACCCTGATCCTCCTGATCTGTCTCCAGAGTAGCTAGAATTACAGGCATGAGCCACTGGCACCTGGCTTGCACAAAATTTTTTACAAGGTTCACCATGACATGTATCTTCATGTTCTTGCTACTCCAGACATTTCCACAAATGCCTACATATAATCCTGATACTCATGGACCATGTGTTCTGTAGTTATATCAGAGGCAAAGCACCTAACTGGTGTCACTTTGATTACCAAATCCATGAACAAAGGTCTACTGATACAGTGCACTTATCTCAGCTCTGAGTAATTCACAGGCAGCTGCATACTAAATCCCAACCTGGGACACTTGAGGCAGGCATTTAATACACAAAAGTTTGGGAGGACAGGTAACTGGAAGTACTGATATTCTATTTTACTTATGACAACCTGCTTCAAAGATCTCTAAGAAAGAGTAAATGAAAAAATATTTGGAGAAGAAAAGTGCTATGCAATAATTATATAATTAAAAAAATTTAAAGTGTGCGTGATGGAGCACGACTATAATTCCAGACTCAGGAGGTTGAGGCAGAAGGATCACAAATAGCCCAGCCATTTGTCAATATATGTATGTATTTAACTCTAAAATACAGAAAAGGATAGGCCAAAAAAAAAAAAAAAAAAAAAAAAAGGAAGAAAGGCTGTACAGCTAGCCAATCAATAATTTCAAGAGAAAATAGAATTAAAGAGATGGTAGAGAATATAAACTCTTGATATTTTTGAATTCTTTACAGTGAGGCTATATTCATAAATATTTGGCAATTAAAATAATTTCCTTTTTAAAAGGAAAAAATAAAAAGTTTGCATAGCATAGGCCTAATAATGTAAAAAAAGATTTACACACATACACACAAAGGTGGAATTTTTTTTCTAGAAGGATATACAAGAAACCATTGGAAGTGCCCATCTCTGAAGAGTGGGAAGGGGAGGGCTTTGGGTGAGGAAGAGCCTCAAGTTTCATTTTACACTCCTTATACCACTTGAGTTTTAAAAATACACATGCTATTTTCATAGTAATATCAAAAGAAGAAAAAAACATTTCCCTCAGGCATTCATGTAATACATTACGAATGCTCCTCTTATAATTGCTGGAAACCTTACTCTGGTGACTCAGTCCTTCAATTAGTTTTAGAATTCGTGAAGTTTATGATATGAACTAAATAACCTCAAAAATTCAGAGTTGGGAACCAAGCTCTAGATTTCACAACTGAACACACAGTGAAGCTTCTTACCTTTGTCTTGAGGTGGAGCAAATGATCTGCATTTTTAGAGAGTGGAAGGGTATCCCCATTCTTGCCTGAAATAAGAAACTTCCCTGAGTTTTTTTTAATCAAAGGAATTATTTGTACTTTTTGTCCTCCAAAAAGTCACTCCTCAGTAAATGGAATCTCTACCAGTGGGAAATCAGAAAAATGTTTTGACTTAGTAGACACATTTTTGTAGGGGTTTAAGAAGAAAGCAGTGAGTATTTCTGTGATCCACCACCAAGTATTTGAAGCTCCATCTACTGAGGCATGCAGATGGGTAAAAGTGGAGTTTGTATGGCCTCAATTTTAATACATTTTAAATAAGAGGACTCATACATTTCTTTTAACAGGTCACATCACATAAAAGACCATATAAGATGGTCACTCCAGCAAGATCCAAATGACCTTTATGCAGTGCTATCACTACAAATGATTAAATCTTGTCTTTATCAACAGCCTGCTTCCATTTTAGTCAAGCAAGGGCAAGCAACCCTTACCTCTACTATACCCTGGAGTGTACCTTACAGAAGCTTAACTCTTCTTTTTTGGAGGCACTGGGGTTTGAACTCAGGGTTTCATGCTTGGTAGACAGGTACTCTACCACTTGAGCCACTCTGGCAGCCCTGTTTTTTTCTTGTTGGTGAGAAAACCGTAAGTTCCCATAGACATAGAAAAATCTACTTTTTCTATAAGCAGAACTTCAATTGCAATTCTGATTTTTGGTATTCTTTCTCCAATTTTCTTCACATATATACATATGTGTATTTAATTTTTTTTCAATATTTTTAATCTTTTCACAGTGCTGGGGTTGAGCCCAGGGCCTGTACACACTAGGCAGGCACTCTACCTCTGAGTTATATTCCTAGCCCTCTTGTTTTCTTATTGGAAAAAAACTTTCTCCCACCTTACCTGTTGCAGCTGTGGATCCCAGTCGCCAAAGTTCTAGGTGATGAGCAAACTGGAAGAGGAGAAGCTGCCTCTTTTTAGAACATGAAATGAGACGTCGCTGTATCCAAGAATTGAAAAGTTATAAATAGGCCAGGGTCACCTACTGACTCAGTATTAGATATAACAGCAACATCTTAGCTTTTTTTGTGTGTGTGTGGTATTGGGGAGTGAATCCAGGACCTTGTGCATGCACAGCAAGCCTTTACCACTTGAGATATGCTCCTAACCCTTAGTGTATTTTTTTAATTGTTGAAATCCGTTTACTTAATAAACATTTCTTAAGAACTACCACAGGCCCAGTCAGCACTGTCCTAGGATCTGAGAACATATGGGGACTAAAATCAGCTACTGCTCAAGAAGCTTCTAGTCTATAAGGATGACATAGAATTAGACTTAACATGGCTAAGCATAGCCTGCAATGGAAAAAAAAAGCAGGACATCTAACCTAGCCTTGTACAGGCAAAGATTAGAGGCTGGATGAGGCCCATTAGTTAAGACTAGTCAGGCAAAGAAGGTAGGGCAGGATGTCTAGTGAAAACAATGGCATGCAAAACAGCTCATAGACAAGAGCATGGAGGGAATAAAGAGCCTTACAGAATGGTAAGACTGGGTGGAGTGGATTGGGTGCTACACGTGTATGAAAGAAGAGGTGAGAGAGAAGATAAAGGACAGGGAGGAGATCAAGGCAAGTTCAATGTGCCATGCTAAGGAATAAAGTTTCTATACTGAACAGGGTTAGCCAAGTGTTTTAAGCATGGAACAATGAACAAAGTTGCTGTTTAAACAGGTCAATGGAGAATACACTAGAATGACACAAATGGAAATAAAGAGATGTTTAAGGAAGCTACTGTAAAAGAATCTGGATGAGAAAAGACAATGATTCTAATTAGGACAATGGTAGCACAGACAACAGTTCAAGAGGTGATGAGCCCAGCAAACACAAGGCTCTGAGTTTGATCCCCAGTACCACAGAAATGAACAAAAAAAACCTCACAATGAGGACTATGTCCAAACTCATCAAATCATATACAGGTAGTTTTTGTATGCCAAGTATTTCAAATATGTATATACATAATGTATACATTGTGAGGAGGCAGACTCAGTAAGGTTATCTGAGTGGAATGTGGAAGCAAGTGGTGGTGGGGGAAGAGGCACTCACTTTTGGAGATGGCACCATTTGCCTAGAAAGGAACACTGGAAGCCAAGTTTTTCCTGCTTCCACCCAGAATAATAGAGCCTACTCTTAAAAAAAACAAATTAACAAAGCTCTTATAAACCACAATTATTTGAGAAAGATAGTTATTTCCCCAGAAAGTGAACTAGAGATGATGGTGCAAATCTCCTGCCCTCCCCACCCCACCAATGTCTTTGCAGGAGACTTGTCTCAGAAACAGAAAAATGATGAATGAAGAAGACAGCAACAAAAAAATCCCTCAAGTTTACCCAGGAAGTGCAAGCTGTGCTTAGAGTCTTATGGGACAGAAGGATAGGGAGATGAAGGGACATTGGGGGAAAGAAATGATACTTACATGGGGGAATGTGATTTTTCGGAGAGCAGCATCGTAATTCTTTACCTCCACCTTCTCCATGAGAGGGCGAATGACTAAGTGGGTGTCAGTGCCTGGGGGTAGGGGGAAGAAATGAACAGAATGAGAAGTCCTGTGTGAAAAGAAAATAACCAAAGCTAGGCAGAAAAAAGCTACAGCCTGGCAGGGAGCAGAACCTACCTCCAGATATGAGAGCCGTTGGGCTGTGGGCCACCGTGCGCACGTCATGAGTGTGGTACTGGAACGGTTTGGTCCGCACCCACTGCTTCTCACTGCTGTTGGAAGTCACAGAGACCAGTTGAAAATGGAATATTGTGCCCTCGGCCGTGCCCACCACGAAACTGTCTTCTTGCTGAGAAATTAAATCATGAGGGGGAATACAAGTGAACAAAGCAGGATCTAGACAGAAAAATATTCCCTGAGGTTTTCTGTCTGGGCACCTCAGGGAATACCTATGCCCATAATTAGAAAGGAGGTTCTCAGGGTCTTTTCCTTTAGGAATCTAACAATTCCATCAGAGAGCAAGCTGGACTTAAGTAGCAATGCAGCCCCTACTAACAAGAGTACATCACATATAATTATGCACACTGGGGGTACATTGTAGAGGGCTTTACCTACTACAGGTTTGTGTAAGTATATTCTATGATGTTTACACAACATCAAAATCATCTAATGATATATTCCTCAGAATGTGTTCCTGTCATTAAGCAACATATCACTGTATACAAACTAGGCTCATCACAACAGACAAATAAGAAGCCAGGTGCCAGTGGGTGATGCCTGTAATCCTAGTTACTCAGGAAGATTGTGGTCCGAAGCCAGCCCAGGCAAATAGTTCCAAGAGACTTTATCTTGAAAAAAACCCATTTAAAAAAAAAGGGCTAGCAGAGTAGCTCAAGGTGCAGGCCCAGTACCACACACACATAAAAAAAAGGTAAATAAGAGATAAACTGAACAAGAAATGTTAAATCTGTCTGAGAAAAAAAATATAAATCCTACTATACCACATAAGGTGACCTGTACAAAGAAATTCATATCATATTCTTCAACAGGAATACTTAACATGATAAAAGATATTATTACAAACAAAATAATGATTTACATAATCCAACAAAAATATTATCTTACTTGGAACTAGAAAAGGTGCTCCTTAAATTCATATAGGAAAATAAGGAGGGGGAAAACAAAAAACAAAAAACCCAAACCCAGAAACCAAATCACAAACAAAAAGCCCAAGGCTGGTGGATTGGCTTAAGTGGTAGAGTGCCTGCCTAGCAAGCATGAGGTCCTGAGTTCAAACCCCAGTACCAACAAGAAAAAATAAAAATAAAATAAAGATTTTATGTGGTTGCTTGTGTGTCTTTGGTATATAGCAGAGCAGATTAACTAGGCAAGAGAGAAGCCAGAAGAAAACCCCTGTACCAACAACCTCTGTTGAACATTCTTGGTTAGACACCACAGAAACAGAATGTTTCTTAATCTCATCTTCCTCCAGTATTACATCTGGATCAGGAAACAGTGTTTATAGTATGTTACCAACTCACCCCCCCAAGCTGGACATCAACTGCTCAAAGTTGGGACCATACTCACATCAGCGACAGCAATGGACTGAACGTCAGCATTTGCGATGAGATGGCTCTTGACAAGAGTCCCAGTAGCAGAGTCCCATAACTGCACTTTCCCAACAGAATCCACACTTATTACAGTGCCATCAGACAAGAAGGCCACACCCCACACAATACATTTCGGTTTAGTCACACTCATATGTTGCCTATCTACGACCATCTTACGAATAGCACTCCCTGAAAAATAAGAAAAGTATACATATGAATAGAACTTATTTCTCCTTCAGTTTTCAAAAAACAGCTGGGTAGGTAACTGGGTACCCAACTGATGTTGGGTAACATCATAGGGTAACTTGGTTGCCCCTACACAGTCAGTCAGTAAAAGGTAGCTGTAATGAACCCAATTTTAAACTCCAAAATGGTTACCTGAAAGAAGAAAGAATAAGTTGAGTGGGAGGGAGAAAGAAGGCAAGAACAATGAAATACACTGAAATCCCTTTTGGGGAGGTAAAATGGAAAGAGATGTGAGACATTCATGTAAAGGTAGCCCACTGCATACATTTTACACTGTTCCAAAACCCCAAGCATGGGATAAAGAGAGAAGGCAACACTAACAAAATTCAGGAAGTGGTAATTGACTTCACAGAGCCCTGAAACTCAGACCCAAATCAGAGGGTATGACAAGAAACCCTCAGGAATTGGGAACCCCAGATACTCTAGAAATGGAAGGAGGTAAAAGAGGGACTTAAAGAAGGGATTAATTAAAAAGAAATTTGAGGTGCTACTGGACCCCTAAGGTACCTATCCCCAACTCCCAAAAGTTCATTTCAACAGAGGTTTGGAGACTCACTCTCTGAAGAACACTGGGCACAACTGAGGGGGAGTACTACACGGAAAATAAGAGTTAAGCCAAAATTGCTAAGCAAATGTGAAGGACACAGTGATGCTCATGTACTTCAGTGACAGAGTGCATGTGTAGCATACAAGAGGCCCAGGGCTCGATCCCCAGCACCTCAAGCAAAAAGAAAGCTATAAAAAAGAACATTCAGAGCTGGGATGCAGCTCAGTTGTAGAGCACTTGACTAGCATGCACAAAGCTCTGGTTATGATCCCACCTCTGGAAATGGCAGAATGAAAATTTCACTAAGAGGATTAAAATATAAAGATGACAACTTTTTTTTTTATTAAAGAACAGTTAAAACCCCAAATGATGAAAAATAAGGGTGAAAAAAAAAAAAAAGATAAGGTGGCAGAGTAGCTCAAATGGTAGAGCGTCTGCCTAGCAAGTGTGAGGTCATGAGTTCAGACTCCAGTACCTCCAAAACAACTAAAACTAAATAAATGAATAAACAAGATAAGAAAATTAGGAGAATCAACATTCACATAACAAGTTTCCAGAAAAGAAAAAAAATGGAAACTCATCTATAAAACAATTTTAAGAATTTTTAGAAATGAAGGGCATGGATTTTGGATTACAAGAGCCTCCTAGATGTCCAGTACAATTGACTGACAAACCAAGAGATCCACAAACAAAGAAACGTAATTAGTAAATTTCAGAAGAGTACAGGCAAAAGGGGCCAGGGTGATACCTCATGATAGAACACTTGCCTTTCATGTACAAGGCCCAGGGTTCAGTCTCTAGCACCTCAAAACAAAATAAACATGATAAAGTTAGCAAACTAAAAGCACCAATTTGTATGTATAAAGGACCAATTCTCAGAATGACATCAGACTTCCTAAAATGGAAACAGGGAATCCTACCCAAAAAGAACTGTGAAAAATCAGTGTCTAGACCTCATAGTTGTATGGCAGGACCAAAGTGGCCAAACTAGATGGGAACAAGTCAAAAGGCAGACTTACTCTACTACTTTTTTTTTTTTTTTTTTAAACAGTACTTGAGTTTGAACTCAGGGCCTCAGGTTTGCTAGGCAGGCACTCTATTGCTTGAGCTATTCCACCAGCTCTATAGAGAAGAATTTTTACATTCTCAAGAATGTAAAAGTGTTCTTTCTCTACTTGTAGAGTTATTTAAAAAAAAAAAAAAAAGCGAGGGAGGGTGGAAAAGTGGCAGGGGGAAAAATCAGATGTGAAATAAAAACAAAACAAAACAAAAAAGTCACATTGGTTTCATCCTAAATTATACACTTAAAGAATTTGGGGATGAAAGGGAGAATGTATATAGGCAAGGCAATTTACTATGCAAGAAGTATTCATGCAGTCACAACAAGGAAAACATCGACCACTAATCTGAACTAACTTGGAGTATTAGCATATGGGGAGGATATGGAGAAAACACGGACAAAGGTATGGATGAGCTGCAAGAGAGCTCAGTTGTAGAAATCAGTAACTAATGGTATCACACTGAAAAATCACAATGTAGCAACAAAGCATGCTGTGTAGTGCAAAGCCTCAAGGAGTTCTTTATGTCCATGTACAACTGATAGAAACCAAGCAAAAACCTTAAGTATCAAGGGAAAAGAAAGACGTTTCTGGTAAGTTTTGCCCCAGTATCTTAGACAGGTGTATCTACATGGCCACCCACAAGTGAGGTCAACGTCATCACTTAAGATTCTATTAGCCAATTGTCCAGGCCAACAACAGAGAAAACTCTGGTTTTCTCTGATCTCATGTCTCACCAATTATGCTACTAAGAACTTATGTTCCATATTTACCAAGGACTGAGATATGTAAATACACATGCTACTCTACTGATCACTCATACTAAACATAGTATTAGTTGAAAGTGCATTTTACTTACTTTTCTTATACTGAAAAATACTGCATCCCTCAGAAGAACTAAGATTTCCCTAAAAGCTGTGGTAGTATTTCAAGCAAGGAGTCAAAGTCCTGGTGGACATCTTAAAAGTTTCATGAGAAACCAGGCCCTCAAGGTCACTGAAAGCAGATCAAACAGTAGAAACCCAGAAGTGTGACTCTGACAAAAACCCACAACCCAAATAAACTGAGAAAAATAGTCACCTGATTTGACATCAAACACACTAATGTAGTCTATGGAGCCAGCTGCAACGTAGGTACCAGAGGGATGCCAACTGAGACTCAGGATGCGACCTAAGAATTGTACATCAAAAGAGAAAGTGACACACACATAAACATATAATAAAGGGTAACTGAGCTCTCCTTCCACAATTACCTACAGGGCTAGTATTCTACAGTCTTAGCTTTTTCATCTACCACACTCCTGTAAAGCACTGTTTTATACCAGATAAGAAACTGCCTATAGTGAAGTAGTTAGTTTAATAATCTATAAAGAGTTAATGGAATTGTGCAAATAAATACAACTTTTTTGAGGATGATTTAGCAATAACCTAACAAAATTTAAGTATACATATTTTTGGGGTTCAGCAATTGTACTGCAAATTGACCAAAGAGACATACTTAAGCAAGGCTCAGTGGTTCATGCCTGTAATATTAGCTACTGGGGAGGGAGAGATCAGAATGATTATGGTTTGAGGCCAGCCCAGGCATAAAGTTAGCAAGACCCCATCTCAACAAATAGCTGCACATGGTGGTGCACAACTCTGATACCATCTTGCAAGAAGCAGAAATAGGAGGACTGGTGTCCAGACTAGCCTGGGCAAAAAGAAGACCCTATCGCCAAAATAACCAAGGCAAAAATGGCTGGCAGTGTGGCTCAAATGCTAAAGCACATGTCTAGCAAGCATAACGCCCTGAGTTCAAACCCAAGCACCACACACAGAAAAAAAAAAAAACCCAAAAAAACCTCTCAAATATGTAAATAGTCGTGCACCGATAATGACATTTTGAACAATGAACTGCATATAGGATGGTAGTCCTATAAAATTATGTTGCCTGTGATGTCATAGCTATCTTAGTTTATGTAAACATACCCAGTAATGCTTGCATAATGAAATTATCCAACAGCACATTTCTTGGAACATATCCCTGTTTGCTAGCAACACATGACTGAAGTTTTTTTTTCTTTTTTTTTTTTTGCTGTTGCACATGCTTTATAAAAATTTTTCATTGCAGCATTGGTTGTACTTGTAAAGAAAAAAGAAAAAAGAAAATAACCACCAATAGGAATTTGGTTAAATAAATTATGTAACACTATAAAACGAATGCCATGCAGATTGGCATCACTGACACAGGAAGGTGTCTATGAAGTGTCCAGTGAAAGAAGCAAGCTGACAAACAAGTACTAGAACTATTCTATTTATAATTGTTTATATGAATACATAAAAACAACCTCGCAGATTAGTTGCCTTCAGAATAGTAGGCTAAATGCATGACATTAAAAAAAAAAAAGACAGTGTATCACCTTTGTAAATATGTTCAAAAGATACTAAAAAAAATCTGATTAGCAGGGGATAAGAAGTACTGAAGGACATACAGAATACACGCGATGCTTATTATTCTCGAGAAGATGACCAACAAATTATAGCCCACTACTGCAGCCAGACTCATTCATTTACATCCAGAGTTAGCTGAGACTATGTGGCCTGCAAAGCCTAAAATATTTACTACCTAGACCTTTACAGGAATGGTTTGCCAACCCCTACTCTACAGGTCAGTGCCAATCTAGTCCAACTGGAGCCGAAGCATGGTCAATTGTTTATAAAACTTCCCCCATTCAATTCATTCAATTTGAATGGGGGAGTAGGATTAAGAACCACAGCTCTGCTGGGTGTGGTGGTACAGGAATGTAATTCCAGCACTCAGGAGGCAGAGGTAGGATAATCTTGAAGTTTGAGGGCAGTCTGGGTTATAGTGAGATCCTCTCCCTCCCCCTCCAAACAAACAAACAAACCCCACAGCTCCTAATGATGAAATTCTATTTGTAAGACCTCATGCACACTTGTGATAGTTTTCTGGATTTTTGGTTGTTTGTATTATTATTACTTTATAACTTATTACTTATTATTATTACTTAACCAGGCAGTCACAATTACGCTACACAATGGAATGGCTTCTAGTACATTCTCTATACTCATAAAATTAGCATATAGATAAACTATTACTTTTAGCCATGGGAAAATATCCCATCCCCAGTGGCACAGAAACATAACTTTCTGTTAAGGATATTCACTGCCTCACTAAAAACAACCCTTACTTTTCTGTCGATCAAAATTTCTTTCAAACTGGATTTTTTCTGGGGTGATTTCAAATAGCTTCACAGATCCATCTTCACAGCCAACCTATTAGGGACAAAAGGTAGAAAACAGAGAAGATAAACATTTTATAGGACTAAATATACACATACACCCTATACACATACATATTCCTTCTTGAAAGCTATCACTACCCTAAAAGAAAAAAGTAGCTGGGAACAGTGGCTCCTATCTGTAATCCTGGCTTCTTGGGAGGCAGAGGAGGAGGACTGTGATTGGAGGCTAGCCAGGCAAAAAGTTAGTGAGACCTCCCATCTCAATCAATAAGCCATACCTGTTATTCAGCTACTTGGGAGGCATAAATAGGAAGATCATGTTTCAGGCCAACCCATGCAAAAAAAATGAGACCCCATATCAAAAATAAGTAAGGTAAAATGGGGTAAGAGTGTGGCTCTGGGGTGGGTGCTTGCCTAGCAAGCACAAGACCCTAAGTTCAAACGCTTCTAGTGCACACACGCAAAAAAAATGCTTTTGAGAAAAAGATTAGTGTGGACAAACTGATAGTGTATTCCTGGCAGGCTTCATATCCTAGCCAGAAAGCAGGTTGATACTAAGAGCACTAATCAGTGGCCCAATTCCTGCATAAGACACAGAATAAAGTAGGATTTTACAGCATCCGTCTCCTAGAGACCCATGACCTAAGTAAAAGACCTACTAACCTTATAACCTAAATGGAGACATGTTAAGATATTACACAAATTGGTACAAAAAAAATCATAAACTCATCACAGAAAATTAAATCTCTGAAAATACCTATATAGAGGGAAAATGTGCTCAAAAATTTCGCTGAGAAACTGCTGACATGGTTTCCCATGAAATTGCTGAAGGACCTCTCAGAATTTTTAATATACACATGGGCACAGTTAATCTACAGGATTTAATAACCTGTATTTCTGAAACAAAACTTATAAAACGCAAAACATACCAAGACAAGAAACAATCTCTACATATCCCAATTCCAAGGAACAGAGTTTGAAAAATGCTGAATGGAATTAATCCTCTCATTTCATACATAAATAAAGAAGGTCCAAAGTAGCAGCAAAAAGGAGACATGAAAATGGATTCTTCTTTTTTTTGGTGGTGTTATTAGATTTTGAACTCAGGGCTTCATACTTGCTAGGCAGATGCTCTACCACCTGAACCATGCCTCTGCTTGACAAAGGATTTTTAATCTTCAATATCAATTCCAATCCTGTGGTCGGAATTACTGGGAGCCAGCCAAAATTGGAGTTGCTACATGTCATAATACAACTTTTACTTTCCTTATAAACATGGGGAAGTTTGAGGAATTAGTTTTGAATCACCGGTAGTTGCTTACTAACCAGAAGTTGAGAGCCACTGGGGCTGGCAGTCATACTCCAAATAGGTCCTCCAAAGGCATCTATAGCATACTTGATGTTTAACGCCTGTAAGTCATACTCAAGAACTTCTCCATTGAGTCCAGCACTAAACAGTCGCTGTCCTGCCCAGCATAGAGCTTCTGTAGCACGAGACTCATGACCTGGGAAAAACTACAGAAATACCAGAAGTTCCAAAATGGATCAAGGATCTTAATATCAGACCCCAAACTCTTTTTTTTTTTATTTTTTATTTTTTTCATTTTTCTTTTATTATTCATATGTGCATACAAGGCTTGGTTCATTTCTCCCCCCTGCCCCCACCCCCTCCCTTACCACCCACTCCACCCCCTCCCGCTCCCCCCCCTCAATACCCAGCAGAAATTATTTTGCCCTTATCTCTAATTTTGTTGTAGAGAGAGTATAAGCAATAATAGGAAGGAACAAGGGGTTTTGCTGGTTGAGATAAGGATAGCTATACAGGGCATTGACTCACATTGATTTCCTGTGCGTGGGTGTTACCTTCTAGGTTAATTCTTTTTGATCTCACCTTTTCTCTAGTACCTGTTCCCCTTTTCCTATTGGCCTCAGTTGCTTTAAGGTATCTGCTTTAGTTTCTCTGCGTTAAGGGCAACAAATGCTAGCTAGTTTTTTAGGTGTCTTACCTATCCTCACCCCTCCCTTGTGTGCTCTCGCTTTTATCATGTGCTCATAGTCCAATCCCCTTGTTGTGTTTGCCCTTGATCTAATGTCCACATATGAGGGAGAACATACGATTTTTGGTCTTTTGGCCAGGCTAACCTCACTCAGAATGATGTTCTCCAATTCCATCCATTTACCAGCGAATGATAACATTTCGTTCTTCTTCATGGCTGCATAAAATTCCATTGTGTATAGATACCACATTTTCTTAATCCATTCGTCAGTGTGGGGCATCTTGGCTGTTTCCATAACTTGGCTATTGTGAATAGTGCCGCAATAAACATGGATGTGCAGGTGCCTCTGGAGTAACAGTCTTTTGGGTATATCCCCAAGAGTGGTATTGCTGGATCAAATGGTAGATCGATGTCCAGCTTTTTAAGTAGCCTCCAAATTTTTTTCCAGAGTGGTTGTACTAGTCTACATTCCCACCAACAGTGTAAGAGGGTTCCTTTTTCCCCGCATCCTCGCCAACACCTGTTGTTGGTGGTGTTGCTGATGATGGCTATTCTAACAGGGGTGAGGTGGAATCTTAGTGTGGTTTTAATTTGCATTTCCTTTATTGCTAGAGATGGTGAGCATTTTTTCATGTGTTTTCTGGCCATTTGAATTTCTTCTTTTGAGAAAGTTCTGTTTAGTTCACATGCCCATTTCTTTATTGGTTCATTAGTTTTGGGAGAATTTAGTTTTTTAAGTTCCCTGTATATTCTGGTTATCAGTCCTTTGTCTGATGTATAATTGGCAAATATTTTCTCCCACTCTGTGGGTGTTCTCTTCAGTTTAGAGACCATTTCTTTTGATGAACAGAGGCTTTTTAGTTTTATGAGGAGACCCCAAACTCTTAAGTTGATACAAGAAAGAGTAGGAAATACTCTGGAGTTAGTAGGTATAGGTAAGAACTTTCTCAATGAAACCCCAGCAGCACAGCAACTAAGAGATAGCATAGATAAATGGGACCTCATAAAGCTAAAAAGCTTCTGTTCATCAAAAGAAATGGTCTCTAAACTGAAGAGAACACCCACAGAGTGGGAGAAAATATTTGCCAGCTACACATCAGACAAAGGACTGATAACCAGAATATATAGGGAACTTAAAAACTAAATTCTCCCAAAACTAATGAACCAATAAAGAAATGGGCATGTGAACTAAACAGAACTTTCTCAAAAGAAGAAATTCAAATGGCCAAAAAACACATGAAAAAATGCTCACCATCTCTAGCAATAAAGGAAATGCAAATTAAAACCACACTAAGATTCCACCTCACCCCTGTTAGAATAGCCATCATCAGCAACACCAACAACAGGTGTTGGCGAGGATGCGGGGAAAAAGGAACCCTCTTACACTGTTGGTGGGAATGTAGACTAGTACAACCACTCTGGAAAAAAATTTGGAGGCTACTTAAAAAGCTGGACATCGATCTACCATTTGATCCAGCAATACCACTCTTGGGGATATACCCAAAAGACTGTTACTCCAGAGGCACCTGCACATCCATGTTTATTGCGGCACTATTCACAATAGCCAAGTTATGGAAACAGCCAAGATGCCCCACACTGACGAATGGATTAAGAAAATGTGGTATCTATACACAATGGAATTTTATGCAGCCATGAAGAAGAACGAAATGTTATCATTCGCTGGTAAATGGATGGAATTGGAGAACATCATTCTGAGTGAGGTTAGCCTGGCCCAAAAGACCAAAAATCGTATGTTCTCCCTCATATGTGGACATTAGATCAAGGGCAAACACAACAAGGGGACTGGACTATGAGCACATGATAAAAGCGAGAGCACACAAGGGAGGGGTGAGGATAGGTAAGACACCTAAAAAACTAGCTAGCATTTGTTGCCCTTAACGCAGAGAAACTAAAGCAGATACCTTAAAGCAACTGAGGCCAATAGGAAAAGGGGACAGGAACTAGAGAAAAGGTTAGATCAAAAAGAATTAACCTAGAAGGTAACACCCACGCACAGGAAATCAATGTGAGTCAATGCCCTGTATAGCTATCCTTATCTCAACCAGCAAAACCCCTTGTTCCTTCCTATTATTGCTTATACTCTCTCTACAACAAAATTAGAGATAAGGGCAAAATAATTTCTGCTGGGTATTGAGGGGGGGGAGCGGGAGGGGGCGGAGTGGGTGGTAAGGGAGGGGGTGGGGGAAGGGGGGGAGAAATGAACCAAGCCTTGTATGCACATATGAATAATAAAAGAAAAATGGAAAAAAAAAAAATACCAGAAGTTCTCAACCTGCCATGAATACATCAACTACACAGGCAATGCAGTGAAAATTACTTCCTTATAAATAACTAGCATGGAGTTTCTGTGCTAACAGAAGATCCTATCAGACATTTTCATTTTTAGGTTCAAATTTTAGGTACTTAAAATAACTGTACTTTATAGATTTTGTTTTGGTTTTCAAAGAGGACTAGTTCAGCAAAACCTTTTTAGCAGAATAAAATATATTCCAGTTTTGTTTAATGTATCCAATTGTTACTTAATGTATCCAATTTTGTAAAAACTACTGCCAATAATCTTGATTGGGCAAGTTTCACTATATAACTAATACACACACACACAGATTTTTCCTATTTTGGATTTTTTTGTTTTCTGTATTAATTAACCAGGCAGTCACAACTATGCTATATAATGGGAGTCTTAGTTTTTAACAAAAAAAAAAAATAAAATAAAAACAGAATACAGAATAAGAACATAAAGAAAATATTGGGGGGGGGGGTGGAGCCTGGCTCAAGATACAGAGCACTTGCCTAGGCCCTGAGTTCAAACCCCAATACTAAGTTAAAAAAAATTTTTTTACAGCTGTACAATGTGTGTGTTTTAAGCTAAGTGTTATCATTACAGTCAAAAGTTAAAAACTTAAAACATTCATAAAGTGAAAAGTAAAGTACGATTAATTATTGAAGAAAAAAATTTTTTAAATATATTTAGTGTAGCCTAAGTATACAGATGTTTATAATGCCTACAGTAGTATAGAATGTTTTAGGCCTATTTTTATTCTATTTTATACTCCAGGGGTCAGCTCACTAAGTTATCTCTTTCCAGGTTTCCTAAACCCATCTCTCCACTAAGGTTCTATACTGCTCTCTTGTTCTCTGTTTTATTGTATCAGTCAGGAAGTGTCTGCATTCTGATCTTTTTCCCACTGGGCTTTTTTTTTTTTTTTTGATCAAACTCAGGGCCTGGTGCATGCTAGCTACATCTACAACTACTCTCCCACTGGTCTTAGTTCTGTGACAACTGGGTCTCTGACATCTATCTGAATGCCCCGAACTTGCCATTTGTTCATTCAGAAACATTTACAAAATGCCTTAATGCCAGGTATCAGTTTGCTGGGCGCTGAACTCATTCATTTACTCATCTCTTCTCTTGTGAATTGAGTTAGACGTTGCATCTGAAGAAAATCAGTAATCAGTGGGGGAGAGGGGTTGTCCTCTGCATACCTCCAAGAGATGGTTTACTTAATTAAAATCTTCACTCCCAAATAGTCATTTAAGTCTACACTCTCTCAGATAGAAGAACTTAGGAATCCCTCTTCCTGCTATCATGTCACCATAGTAAAATGTTTCTCATCACTTTTTTTTCTGAATTGACAATGAAGTGGCTACTAATACCCCAGGCAGAAAGGTCACCTCACCAATGATCTGGACAATTCCCCTTCTTGTAGTGACCAACAGATCCAGCAAACTTCATTTGTCAAAGGACAAGCATTGAAATATGGTAAGTACTTAATACGCTCTTTCTAACCAACATTACACTTGTCAAAACTCTGAACTGCTCTTCATCAGTCAGACAAGAGATCTCTTATTTGCTACAGTTCTGTAGTTCCAAACTCTACAAGGGATAGGGAGTCACTTGAGCTCTTCAAATATGACATACAAGCTGTAAAATTGAACTTAATAAGAAAATTCACATCAGAAACACCAGGCTCCCAAATGACTTACTTTCTCCTGAAAGTAATTTGCTGACAAGTTATAAATTTCCACAGTGCCATCTGTTCGTGAAACAGCCAGTCTATTTGACTGGTTATTGTAAGCCACACAGCGGATCCCTGGCGGGACATAATTAAAGAAACGTACTCGATGGACCTTAAATTCACCCATTCCTAGAGGGGTACAAAAAGAGTCATTATTATTAAAGGTTAATTGAAGTATATCACATGTATTCAGTTATTACCACTGTCCTGAAAGGAAGGCTCCAGCTAGCTCACTTAAGTTCATCCCTAAATATCTAACTAATAATGCTTTCACACCCCACCCAAGAATACATCAATCTCCAGACGGTCAGTATAGTTTGAATAAGTACGCTTCCGGGAACCCCAAGGGGCCCTACTCCATAGCTACAGAATTCCAACCTCTTGGAGCAGTGTGAGTTGTCCTGTAAATCTGCATCTTAGCAAGCACCTCTCCGCAACTCTACGGAATGCTAAGTTTGCAAATCACAGACCCAATCTAAGGTAGTGAAGGGAGTCTGATGGAGCAGGGGAACTCAGGACTTGGTGATTTTCTCAGGGTCCCCGGTGTAGCACCTACCCGGCAACACATATGTTGGACCAGGGTAGAAACCGGATCTGGTTCTCCCCTCACCTGTCTACCTTGGAGGTTAGAAAACCACAAGCAGAGCTGGTATGTTGGGCCAGGCCGCGAAGTGTTTGCCACCCCTTCACTCTCCCGGGATCTACGGAATAGCCTCCAACTCAGTCTCGGACCAGGGAAGTGGCGAGCGCCTCGGGACTCCGACCTCGAGCGGGCCGCACCTTTCCAGACTCAGCTCACACACCGGCTCCCCACGTCTCTTCCCCAACTCACCTTTAGTCCGGCTCCCGCAGTCCCCAGACCTTGCCTCTCTCCGTCCGGGCCACACGTGCGCGCGCGCGCTCTCAAGCTCTGCCCCGGAAGTGCTCGCGGCGCGAGGCCGGAAGTGCGCAGGCAGTGCTCGCGGCGGCGGCGACGGCGGCGGGAGGTTCGGTTGTCGCCCGTTGGCCGCGCGGCGCCGCGCTCGGCGGCCGCCATTGCAGGTCAGGCCGCGGGCGGGGGGCACGGGAGGCCGCGGGAAGCGACACCCGAGTCGTGGCGGGGGGAGAAGGGGCGAGAGAGTGGGAAGCTAGAGAGCTGGGGCCGGGCGGGGCACGCGGCTCCGGGAGAAGAATGGCGAGCCGAGGGGCGGGGAACAGCCGGGCGGGGGAGGGGTGGCGGACAGGGAGATGGAAGCCGGGAGGGCCGCGCAGAGGTGGGGGCGAAGACGCAGGGTCTCCCTTGAGTGGGAGGACCGAGAGATATGGGGGAAGGGGCGGTGTAGAGGCGGAAGGCGGAGGGAAGGAAGGGAGCGAGCAGGGCGGAGGGGGAAAAGAGCGGAAAGGGTGGCCGAGCGCGGGCGGAGGACGGAGAAGGGGGCGGCGCGGGCCGGAACCTCGAGGTAGGTGCGGGAAGGGGCTCTTCCCCTGCTTGGGAGGGAGGCTTGCGGGAGCGGAGTGGAACTGGAACCCAGAAAGTAGCGGGAATAGCGGAAAGGAAAGGGATCCTCGTGGGGTGGGAAGGGAGTAACAGGACTATGAGATTTTTTCTAGGGGGCATTTTAAATTATGGGGAAAAGAAGAGGTTGCTGGCAGAGAGAATTTGGAGGGTGGTTGGAGAGTGATTTTGTTGTGGGTGGAGTGAAGCCGACAGATGAGTAGGGTGGGGTCCCGGAGGACCAAAGTACTCTGGGACTGAGAACAATTTGGTAACGTGAGTGATGGAGAAAAGTGGTTTAAAAGAGGAGTTTTGGGGACGAGGGTGAATGATTTAGGGGGGAGGAGTGGAGGAAGGCAGTTTAAAGAATGGGGCGGAATAGTTTCCCTGGGAGGAAAACGAGGGGATTAAACATCTTGGTAAAATGTACCAGAAAAAGTCTGGGATAGTTTGGAGGAGGCTGGAGAAAATGAGGGGAAACAGATTGAGGAGTTCTAGAAAGTGGGCGGGGATAGAAATAGGAAGTGTGGCTCTAGTGGGGGGGGCAGGGGTGGAGAAGATGGGGGCAAATGGAAGGAGAATTCAGCATAAAGTGACCCATCAGCACCAGGAAGGAATGGGGCTGGAGAGAGATAGGCTGTCACGGCCATAAGAGGAGAAAATGTTGAGATGGGGCTGCAGAGTAGCAGAAGATGGAAAAAACTGGATTAAATCAGAACGACTGAAGCCATCTTTTCTACCTATTGTCTACAAGTACCAGTAATTGATTCCCTCCAACTTGGGAATCCTAAAATGTGGTGGGAAAGTACCACGTGTATACATGGTATCTACACACGTTTTTTAACACATTCTTCGCTAATGAAAAGTTTGGAAGCATTCAATTCCACCTACCCTCCACTGCCCCTATTAGTAGGGGAGCAAGTGTCTCATTTAAAAATTTTAGACTTAGTAACAAGCCTGTCAAGAGACAAGATCCCCTTCCAAACTGAGACCATCCCCTCCAGTCACAAAACCACAATAACACTTGTAATAAAATAATCTGTATTCAGTTGTATATATGACTTTTCAGTTCATTTGGTGGAGAGGCACATAAATAGCTATCATGTTAGAGAAATGACCTGCCAGAGCTTAGTTCCTGAAATAGTTTGGCGAACCATGACTTCAGTGTTTGAGTTGTTATCCAATTATATAAACCTGATTTTATTCTGATGTCCTCTTGCTTTTATAGGATGTTGTAATCTATTGTAAATACTAAAACTAATTATGTAATATACTATGATGTCTACTAGACATACACTAAGAAAATGCCAAATTCCTCTGGTAATCAATAACTTGACCCTAAAAACTACCTTGTATTGGGCACTGTGTGCTAAAAACTACATTCATTATCTCATTTTTACAGCAGCCTTTTGAGATAGTTCTTTTTTTTTTCCCCTGGTACTGGGGTTTGAACTCAGGGCCTAGAGCTTGCCAGGCAGGTGCCCTGCCACTTGAGCCACTTTGCCAGCTCAAGGTAGATATTTTTATGCCCAGTTTATTAATAGAGAAACTCAGGAGGTTAAGAAATACTATCACACACAATTTGGGTGACATTGTAGAATCCAGGTTGATCTGATAGTGTCTTGTCCCTGGGATTAACATAAGCTCAATAAATGCTATTGGCCTGGCAACTTGTGAATGTATTTTGTGTCATGTTTCTCATTTTTAAAATGTATTTAGTTTTTTTACACTTTAAAGTGATTAATTTCACCCCAGTTTTTTACTATTTCTTTTTTTTTTGGCAGTACTGGGGTTGAATTCAGGGCCTTGTGCTTACTAGGCAGGTGCCCTACCACTTCAGCCACTCAGTCAGCCCTACCCCTACCCCAGTTTTTAAAGTTAGGAATTTTTTAAATTGAAGATTGGGAAATTAAAGCCTGATTCTCTTCAGGAAAAAAACAACAAACGGTGGTAGAGCACATGGCACAAGGCCTTGGGTTCAATCCCCAGCATCATAAGAAAAGAAAAATAAACCAAATGATTAGAAATATTTCAATGAAAATTTCTAAAACATTTTTAGCTCCAGAAAAGTTTAGTTATGTGTATTTAAATTACTGGATCAGAGCCCTTTTGCTATTTAGCTACATGTTTAGATACATATCATTTCTGTCTCATTTTATTTTGGGAGCAGTTATTGTGAGGATTGTTGATCAGCCAGCTCTCCTTAAGAGATTGATAATCTTTTAACAGTATTTAATAATTCAGAGAGCAGAGAATGAGAATTGAGTTTTGTTAAAGATTAAAATCCATGGCAAGCCAGGTGCTGGTGGCTCACTCCTGTAATCCTAGGTACTTGGGAGGCTGAGATCGGGAGGATTGCAGTAAAGGCCAGCCTGGACAAATAGTTTTGAGAGACCCTCATCTCCAAAATGACCAGAGCAGAATGGACCGAAGACATGGCTTCCTAAAGTGTCTCCTTCACAAGTGTAAACCCCATCTCTTTACCCCCTCAAAACAATTTATTCATGGCAAAGAATATCCTCTATCTGCTTTCCCCACACTAAGGAGCAGAGATTTAGGGTAATGCCTAAAAGTGGAATTGAGTTGATCTCTAGAAATTTAAAAGCCTTTAAATGTCATTGATTGGATAAAATAAAAGGCAAGCTTACTGTTTTTAACTTTACTCCATAGATCTATTAGCTACTTTAGTGGCAAGTTACAAGGTTGGTTACTTGCTTTTTTGTAAGATGCTGTGAGAATGAGGCTAAGTATAAAGTTAACCTCATAAGGAAGTACTGTATGGGGGGTGGGGGACTAGATGAGAAGACGACTGCAAGAGTACTATAAGAGTGGTAGGGGCCACATTTGGCTATACCACTTATTAGCTGTGTGACCAGTTGCTTAACCTTCAGCTTCTTTAAGCCTGTTTTCTTATATGTTAAAGAGACTGAGAATACTATACCTACCTCAGGGTGGTTGTCAGGATGAAATGAGGAAAAGCCAGTAAGTGTTCAAAAAAACATTGACTATGTGAGAGAAGTTCAGCTTCTTTTTTATTTATCATCTTCTGCTGGGACTACTTAAGTCATATAGTTGTGGGCGTTTTGATTTGGAATGAACACTTATCAACATTATCTAATTTCTTCATATTATGGAAAAAATTTTTTCTGCTGAAAAGAAAAACCTTAAAATATTTATAAACCTTTCTGAGTTCTTTACAGTTCTTATTGACATACTCATACAAATTTTGGCTAGGGATAAATGAATTAGATTTAATTTCTTGAGAACTGCATATGTTTTCTGAATAAATCATTTATAAAGTACCAACAATAAACAAAACATTTCTATGCTCTTCAAAATAAAAAAAAAGTCATATAGTGGTGCTTTGATTTGTTATGTTCTTTGTAATTTTTTGGGTTTTTATGGTGGTGCTGGGTTTTGAACTTGTGAGGCAGGCGCTGTACTTACTGTTGAGTTTTGCCTCCAGTCCCTATAATTTTTAGTAGTTAACTCCAAAATAGAGGTCAAAGCTAAATGATAAATAAGTTTTATGCCAATCTGTTCTGATTTGGGTTAAGATTTCCATTGTGGTTCTAGAGTGGTTTTTTTTAATACTGCTGCTGTTACTCTATGATTTGCTCATGGGCCTTAGAGTCCTAAAAAGCAACAATCTTGACTTTACCTGTGACCTTCACACTAACTTAAGATCTGGCATGATGTGGGGCAAGCTTAGATAAGTATCATTTCTAAAAAGAATTGAAGCCTCAATAAAGGACTTTTTTTTTTTAAGGGAAAAAATTGGGAGTTATATTAAAATGAATGTTTTTTTAAATTTCCGTTACAAAGTCATCTAGCTAAGAATACAGGATTTATGTATTTATTAGCCCCAAAAGATTAAGTAGAAAAAAGTTTCCTCTCTTATGAGATAGAGGGTAGAGGATATAATTACTGTGGGGGGAAAGGTTTGTCTTTACACCTTCCCATGTCTCCAGGGTTGCAACCTAGTTGTGGCCTATAAGAGTGATACTACTATGAAATATAATGAATTTGAACAATCGGTTTTTTTTTTTTTTTTGCAGCTCTGGGGTTTGAACTCAGAACCTCATGCTAGCTAGGCATTGTGCCACTCAGCCAGCCCTTTTTTGTGATGGGCTTTTTCGAGATAGGGTCTTGTGAACTATTTGCCTGGGCTGGCTTCAAATCTCAATTCTCCTGATCTGTGCCTCCTGAGTAGCTAGGATTGCAGGTATGAGCCACTGGTGCCTGGCTGGAATTATGTTTTGTTGTCAGAGACATGTTGGTTATAGCCAAATTTGGAATTGATTGAAACCTGGCCTTCAGAAGAGACTTACTTGCCTGGGGACTCTTCACTGACTCTTAGTTTCATTATTTGATATATAGTCTGTTCTCCAAGCTGTGCTTTCACATGTTGTTCTTGAAGCTCAGTTTCTAAACAAGGCAAATCTTAGACCAAACAACTAGAAATGGTTTCAGTTGTCTCTTAGCATTGTTAGAATGAGTTGAGACTGAAAACTTAGAAATCCTTTTATTATGTAGAGAATTTCATTGTAATGTTTTTGTTATTATTACTAACAGGATTTCACAGGTTAAGTATCTCTTATGCAAAATACTTGGTGGAGAAGTATTTCACATTTTAGGGTTTTTCAGATTTTGCAGTATTTGCATAGACTTAACAGGTGACTATCCCTAACCTGCAGGCATGAGGCTCAAAAAGCTTCAGATTTAAGGGGATCACCAGTTTTCGGGTCCCCCTGCATTCCCTATTTTCTGTTCTCTTCTCTACAAATAAATTCTCTACAAATAAAATCTTTCTGACCTCTGCTTTTAAAAAAAAAAAAAGTTTCAGATTTCAGAACATTTCAGGCTTTTAGGTTAGAGATATTCAACTTGATTACACTTGTCCACCATTTTTTTTTTCGGCCTACTGTTAGGGATGAGGTCAGATTAAGCTGAATGATCTCATATGATCTCATATCCTTTTTAATAAACTGCATGCAAAATGAAATATGTATTCATATTCCTTGTCACCTCCATTAGGTGTGTCCTTAGTTCACTACTCAGATACCCCTACTCTGGCCCTGTGGGCAGTTGCCTAGAGATTTCAACAAGCAAGAAATGGAATACTAGAATTCAGGTGTTACCGGGTATTTTCTAAGCACTAAAGAAAAATTCTTAATCTCACTAAAGAGATGCACTCCCTGATGTTTCTTACTAGGTCAGTACACTCTCATATATACAAATTACATAAATGTAGCCAGATCAGTCCAGGTTCCTAAGAGCTAGACTTACCAGCTGGGCTAGTAAGCTTGAACTTCATTTGTCAATCCATGTGAAGCATCTCACTAGATCTAGCATAACAAGTTTTTACAGGCCCTACAGAGTACAGCAACAGAATGGTGAGACTGTGGGCCACAGAATTCTGATTTTCACGGGCATTGCTAAATGTCTGCTAGTATTAACAAATATTGAGGCAGAGCCTCTTGTATCAGTGTATAAAGATATGCTAATGAAAGCCCCAGGGATTAGGAGACTGTCCAGAAAATGGGGAAGATATTTCTGCATCCACTTCTAAACAGTCTATACATACCCATCTCAAGCCTATGGTCAAAGCATGTAAAGATTCATTTTAATTGTTAGGTTTTATCTCCTTTCCCTATCTTGGGCTTCCCAGAACATGTTCACTATGTGAACACCTTGTTGCTTCACTATTGCTTAATATCCATCAAGGAAAATGTACTGCATCATCAATCATTGAAAGCTTCCTGACAAGAACCCCTTCTCAGTCAGTACATTACTGAACCTTTTTTGATTCATATCTAACATGTACTTACCACTTTGCAAATTACAGTCAAAGTTACATTGTCAAAATGCAGATTTGCTTATTCCACCCTCCAAAAAATTAGCTCTTCTTGCTGGGTGCCAGTGGCTCACGCCTATAATCCATGCTACTTAGGAGGCAGAGATCAGGAGGATCAAAGTCCCAGCCAGACCAAACAAATAGTTCATGAGACCCTATCTTGAAAAAACTCAATCCAGAAAAGGGCTGATGGAGTAGCTCAAGGTGTAGGTCCTGAGTTCAAGCCCCAGTACTGCAAAAAAAAAAGTCTTCTCAATAGAATGTAGTCTTTTAAAGCAGTTTTGCATGTGTTATGTTTAGTCATCACAATAGTCTAGTGAGTCATAATCTAGATGTTAGCTCCATAATTATTAAGTGAGGTGTATGTGATCACACAGTAGAGTTCACTATGTATAGGCTGGAACCTTGGTATTATTTTGCCTTCAAGGAACCCTAGAGGAAGACTGGAGGTGTGGCTCAAGAGTGAAGCCCTGAATTCGAACCCCAGTCTCATGAAAAAGAAAAAAAAAACCCCAGAGGAACCAGGTGTGGTAGCACTCCCAGCACTGGGGATGCTGAGGCAGGAGGATCTGTACTTGCAGCCATAAGAAGATTTAAAAAAAAAAAAAAAAGTGTGTTCTGAGTTTTGTTAATGGTCACATTGGGGCCTTTTTAGTGTATGGTCCTTTCTCACATGCTACAAAAGGTCTGGTCTGTTCAAACGATGTCATGTTAGTGCCCTTTTGCCATTCTGAATAGCACTTCAGAATGCTTATTGCCTAGTATCTTGATTCATTTTCATTCTCACTGGCACTTAGATTTTTTTCTTTGGGAAAGCAGAATTGGATAGTGACTTTTAAGTGTAGATAGATGATCTGGATTCCTATCTTAGTTCTGTCACACACTAGGTGTGTGTGTATCATATGTGAGTAAGTGGTCTAATCTGTATGCCTCTTGCAAAACAGGACTTAGTATCTATATCATAGTTGTCATGTTGATTGAATCAGACACCTGCATGTGTGCAGGGTGTCCAGTCCATAGTAAAAACTTAAGGTGGTTCTCTCTTACTCTAGAGACAACTGGCTTTCAGTCTATTGAAGTGTATTCCTTTCCTAATAAACTTTACTGTCATTTTCACTTAAAAAAAAAAAACTATGCTAACTAAGATACCAAGTGTTTTGCACAAATGTGGACAACAGAAGCTTGTGTCTTGGCTGAGAGGACTGCAATGTGGTGCAGCCACAGTGAAGATGGCAGTTTTTGTAAAACAATGTAGTCTAGCCATCACACTCCTAGGCATTTACCTGAGTTCAAAACTTATGTCCATATGAAACCTGCTGCTTGGTGCACATCTGTAATCCAGCTACTAAGAGTCAGAGGCAGGAGGATCAGTTATGAGATAGGCCCCAGGGAAAGTTAGTGTGAGACCTGGCCTGAGAAGCAAACTAAAAAGCAGCTGGAGGTGTGACTCCAGCATTTGCCTAGCAAACCAAGGTCCTGAATTCAAGCCCCAGTATCCCTAAACTAAAATGCAAAAAAAAAAAAAAAGGCAGTGGCTCAAGTGGCAGAGCACCTGCCTAGCAATCGGGAGGCCCTGGTACTACCAAAAACAACATAGTAAAAATTCAAAACGCATTAGCTGCTACTTACACTTGCAAGTTCAGTGAGTTGACCAGCTTCACGCTCCCAGTGTGTTTTGTGCTCTTGGGAGCTGGGGTTCTGTCATTCTGTATGGCTGCTACTACCTGCCCCATACTTTTCCCTGGAGATCCAAAATGAAGATTAAGGACTGGAGGTGTGGCTCAAGTGGTCAAGTGCCTGCTTTGTAAGCACAAAGTCCTGAGTTCAAAGCGCAGATCAACAACAACAAAAAACATTAACATGCCAGTAAAGAAACCTGTTTAGCTAGGCATGCATACCTGTAATCTCAGCACTTGGGAGGCAGGAGGATCCTAAATTTCAGGCCAGCCTGGGGCTAAATAGCAGGAACCTGACTCCAAAAAAGAAAACCTGTTTGGTATTTTAATCAGGTCTTCACTAAGTTTGTGCACAGTTATTAAAACCTATTAATTTCACACTTCAGTGAGTAAACACTTGAGTAACAACTTTCCACTAAATCTGTATATACATTTGAAAGATCTACCCAAAAGCTGTAGTTTTAGCCCCCCTATCCCCTAAATCTATCCTCAAAATGACCCAGTGTAAATGAAACCAGTTGTCCTCAGGTAAAAATGTCTCATTCTAACCCATTCTTTTAGAGTACTCCAAACTTGCCACCAGGTGGTGCTGTTGTATAGATGAAAGTATTATCTAAGCATTGGAATAGTTTTATTTATAAGCAAAAGGTGGTTGAAGCTCAACTGTTGGTAACCTTCAACAACCTTAATAAGTACAGAATCAGTAAGAAAACTTAGCACTATGGCATTATTAGGGAAACAAGGTGACGTGCCTTAGCACCTAGAAAAGGGCTTATCAAACAATGATGTTTACTGTCATTTTGTTACTATCATTGTTATCCTAATTTTTTTCTTTTTTTTTTTTCTAGTTTTATTTTCAGTTGCTTTTTAAAGAAGGAAAGCTCATGGTGCAAATTGTAATTTCAAGGTGAGTACATTTTGAGATTTTTATTTAGCTTGAATGACGAGGGCTATATAGATTGCACATTTTTCTGGAAGAATCAGGGTCCTCAGGTGCATCTTACAAGAATATTTGCATTGAGATCTCTAGTTCAGTGCCCAGCACTGCCCAATTTCCCAAGAACTTGTGCTCAACAAAGAGTTTCTTTGGGCCTTTAATGGTGGTGTAGGACACTATTCTTCATCGCCCCTCAAAAATATTGTAACCGCCAGCCCTTTGCTTGCAGTGCGGGGGCTGGAGGCCTGGCAGAATGGGTGCTGATGGAGCTACAGGGGGAGATCGAGGCTCGCTACAGCACCGGATTAGCTGGAAACCTCCTGGGAGACCTACATTACACCACTGAGGTGAGGGGGCTTTTCTTTCTCAGCCTAATGCCTCAGAAAAGCAAGCTACACCAAGGTGGTGCTCCCAGGACCCAGAGTGAGGACTGTTCTCAGGTTTGTTATTCAAGGTCTAGCTAATCTGCAGAGCTATCTGCTTGCTCTCCCCCCACCTCTGCAGTAGCAGGGAAATTTAGTTTTGGGGAATCTGGAAAGGTCACATTTTGAAAGCAGAAATTCTTTTACATGGGGCTAGAGAGAATAAAAAGGGCCCAAGGGTGGTTTGTCCAGTGTGACTCTTCAACAGTGGTAAAGCCATACCAGGGAGTAAAGGTGTCAGCATTGCCTGCCAAGAACAGCTTTAAAAGGTACCTGAATGGAATGGCCTTGCCCTGAACCTCAGGCATCTCCTTCTTGTTCTATCAAAGGGAATCCCCGTGCTGATCGTGGGGCATCATATCCTGTATGGGAAAATCATCCACCTGGAGAAACCTTTTGCTGTCCTTGTCAGACACGCTCCTGGGGAGCAGGACTGTGATGAGCTTGGCCGAGAGACTGGCACCCAGTACCTGGTGACAGCACTCATCAAAAGCAAGATTCTTTTCAAAACCCGCCCCAAGCCTATTATCACCAACGTCCCCAAGAAAGTATGAAAGAACCTCGGATTTTCCCTAGAGAGCGGCCAACTCCTTGGACTCGTGCTCCACTGCCACCCCGAGGACGGCTCGACGGTTCCCTGGGACCACAGGGGGGTCCTGTTCTGAATACAAGCCACCCACTGGGTGTGAACTCGGATCCCTTCCTTATGGCAGCTGGTTCTCTTGGTGGAAATATGGCCCCGTTTCCAAGGAACCCATCTCCATTTCCAACTTCATCCGGCTCATTGGCTTCAAATCCAGCACCTTTTCCTGCTGGTGCTCGTGACCCAAGCATGGCTTCATTTCCAAGAGGGATGACTCCCACTGGCACAGGCACAGTTTCTTTCCCAAGGCCAGGTGCCCTCTTGGGCCCAGGACCAGGACCATCTTTAAATCCTAGAACAGGGGTTCTTCCAGGGCCAGGGCCTATGTCTAACCCCAGGTTAGGAGGTCTCCAAGGCCCGGGTCCTATGTCAAATCCAAGGGCAGGTGGTCTTCTGGGAGCTAGTCCTGACCTTAGAAGTGGTGGCCCCATGGTCCCTGGATCTGGACCCAACCTGAGAGCAGGTGTCTTATCCTCTGGGAATGGTCCTCCTAATCCTAGGCCAGTTGGTCTGGGCCCTGGACCAAATCCTAATCTGAGATCAGGCTTTTTAGGTTCAAACCCTGCCCCTAGGTCAGGTATGTTTCCAGGCCCAGGTCTGGGGCCAAACCCACGAGCAAGTGGCTTGGGTCCAGGTCTTGCGCCTAATCCCAGGGCTGGTGGCCCAGGTCCAAATCTGGATACCAGAGCAGGTGGCCTCTTGGGCACAGGATCTGGTCTTAACTTAAGAATGGCTGGACCTCAAGGACTAGATCTTGCCCCCATTTTAAGAGCAGCAGGTCTTTTAGGAACAAATTCAGCTTCTTTCTCGCAGGCTTCTGGAAATATGGGCACAAGTCCATCCTCCATGGCAAGAGTTCCTGGTCCCATAGGCCCAAATATGGGTCCTAGCTCTCGGGCAATTGGCCTTCCAGGGCCAAATCCATCTCCCATGTCAAGGGCTCCTGGCCCTATAGGTCCTAATTCAGCTCATTTCTCTAGGCCAGGTGGCCCCATGGGGGTAAATGCTAATCCCTTTCCAAGGGGGACAGTTTCAGGAGGACTGAACCCATCTGCCTTCTCTCAGTCTTCTGGCACATTGGCTTCAAATCCAGGTACCTTTCAGAGGTCTGCTGGCCCCCAGGGCGCAGGTCCAGCTATTTTTCCAAGAGCCTCTGGGCCACTAGGTCCCAACCCAGCTAACTTTCCAAGGGCCACTGGCCTTCAGGGTCCAAGTCCAGCTGCCTTCCCAAGGTCTACTGGTCCATTAGGCCCTGGTCAAGTTGCTTTTCCCAGGTCAGCTCCTGGGCACCTGGGCTCTTCTCCAGCAGGCCCTGTGAGTATCAGTGCAGCTCCTTTTGCAAGGCCAACTGGGACCTTGGGTCTTAACCCAGCTTCCTTCCCAAGGATGAATGGCCCTGCAGGGAAGAGTTTGGTCCCATTTCCTAGGGTGGGGAGCCTCCCTGGCACAAACCCAGCTGCTTTCTCCAGACCAGGAGGTCCAATGGCTGCAATGTACCCAAATGGAATGTTGCCCCCTTAAACGTCACTTTCCCATCAGGACCACCTTGTATTGCAAGCACTGTGGTTCTGGGCAGGGACTGTCTCTTAAGTGAAAGAGTAGATACAGAGCTACTGTCTGAAGAACATAGCGGGGCTCAAGTTCAAATGAGCCATCTTTTTCTCTGCTTTTTTCCTGACTGAAGGTGAAATGTTAGTTGTGGGACATGGACTGTGGCAGGTGGGAATGATCATGACCTCAAGAGAAAGGATCTTCGGCCTCCCAGAAGCCTGCTGTGCTTTTGTCCCACAGCTTTCTGCCCCTTGTTTCTTATTAGTTTTCTTGAATTGTTCTTGTGGACTTTTCCTCAGGGATTCATTGGCCTGCAGGTCCCAATTCATGTGTAATCCCGTTTCCCACCGGAGAATCAGCTCACTGCTCTGTACAGATGTTGCATTGGTGAATGGACCATGCTTCAGTAGCTCTGACCAGGGCAGCTTGGACCTAGTCATCTTCTACTGCCAGACCTTTCCCTGGGGGCTTGAACACAGAACAGGGAGGTGGACAACTACTTCACAAACCTATCAAACTTCCACTTAACTGGGCCTGCAGCTCCTTTCTCCTGGGACTTAGAGGGGTCAGATTTAAGGCTCCTCTGTTAATTCAGCTCCCTTGCCACTGGTACTCCAATCAAAGAACCTCAAAACTTAAAACTGATGTGGATGGGAATGGGGGGGGTGGGGGAATGAAGGGAAGAAATCACTGTGCTTTGTTCAGCCTGATGTGAAGGATGGTTGGTGTTTTTCCTGCATTGTATCTTTTCTTACTGTTTAATAAATGGGATGTGAGGGCTGCTGTTGTCCCTCCGTTTTATCTGTTCTCATAGGGAAGTTTACACTCCGCTTTTCATTGTTTGGTCACAGTCCCGCGTTATCTACTATGTGCAGAATGCATTTGCACTTGAAGCAAGCTTTGGTTTTTTAGTCTTAGGTCACTCATCTGACAGCTGTTACACCACCAACTCTTGTCTCGCCTCTACAATAAAAGTTAAGTCATCACAGATGTAAGGCTATCAGAGTGGTCCTACTGTATTCCCTAGATCAAGACAGCCGTGACAACATCCCACTTTTGAGTTCCACTGGTTAAACTTTGCACCTTCACTCCTTTTAAAACTGGAACAAAGCCAGCTATTGTGTTGAAGCCTTGGTCTCCAGTGAAGCTGACAGGTGGGAGGTGGGTGCTCTGTAATCAATGAAGAGTACCACTAGTAGTTTACTAAGCTTAGTGAGAGGTAGTGGAGTCTTAAGCAGGCGGGGCCTAGTTGGAGGATGTAAGTTACTGAGGGCTTGGCTTTGCAGGATGTACTTTTGGCCTCTGACTTCCTCTTTCTCTTCTATTTCCTGTGGCTTACAAGGTGAGCCGTTTTTCTCCACTGCATGCTCCCTTCCATAATATTCTTGCCTTACCACATGCCTATAAAGGGAGACAAGTGAGAACAGACAAACCATCAGCCAGAATAAATCTTACATGGTTGGCATGGGTGTTTTGTCAAGCATTGGAAAGCTGACACACAAGCATTATGTGAGAATCTTTATTTTGACAAATGTAGTATAAAATCTTGACCTGAAAATTACAAAAGGGGAAAAAAAAAAAAAAAGCTCCAAGGCGCAGTGAAGCAAATGAACTAAAGTAGCTGATCTTCATTGCCAGCAAAAAAGACAGCAGCTGCCTTGCAACCCCATAACCTGTAGCACCGTGGGATTGTCAAAGAAGCACCGTGGAGAGAGGTGGCTGGGACCACCACGGTGGTGCCTGGAAGCAGGGCTGCTACTGCAGCATTGGGGGGGGGGGGGGGGCGGGGCACAAGAAACAAAGCACCAGGAGTGGTACCACCAGTGGCACTGAAAGATGGAAGCAGGGCCAGAAACATAGGGGTAAGCAGGGGACCAAAGCCAGGCCCCCAGAACCAACCACTGGTGGGAGCACAACCAAGTCCAGTGCTCACAGCAAGGGAGGATGTGCCAACTGGAGAAATGCAATGACTGCTTTGAGGCTGATCCCAGCTCTCAGGCTAGCTCAAGATATGCCCTGTCACTTCACCATTGTGGAGACCCAACTCCCGGCAAAGTTGGGACTGAAACCCTTGGAGATCATTGTTATCAATTAAGAGGCTGGCACCATGGTGAGGCCCAGGCAGCTGATGTCATCAACCCTGTGGCCTTGCTTCTCCCTGTGGGAGAAGCTGGAGGCTGACAAGGAAAAGCAACCATTGAACCCAAAGTTCAGGAATATAAAGACACTTGGGAGAGGATGGCCCCTGGCTCCATGACATCACAGCCTGGACACCACTGCAAAAGAATGACTGGCAAAGAGCCCTAAGCTATGGAGAATATGGACCAAAAGGTTAGTGTCAGTACTCTGGTTTGGGCAGAGGCAACAGGGTCTTGCTGTGGCGTATGACACTGATTGCTTCTAAGACCCTCCTCACTTTCAAGGACACATGTGCTGCAGGAGGAGGATATGCTGGTGGGTAAAGAGCTGGCAGAGAAGAATGTGGAGCTGTGGAAGAAGCAGAGGATGAGCATGGATGACTTGGCACAGAAAGAACCTCTCTACTGGCCAAATACTGTGATGAGCAGGAGGGCAAGTGGTTGCACTCCTTCAATTTGTACCATTGTGGCATGGCCAGTTGCCTTTGAGAATGTGAGCTGGAGGAGATTCCAGCCAACCTGTAGCTGGGCTCACCTCTAAGCACTTTCAATCTGAGGAGACTGTTGGCTTTAAAAAGACCAAGCGGAGAGTGAAGAAAATCCATGAGGAGGATGTGCTAACAGATGACGTGCTGCCTCTTGAGAATCAGACTCAAGATGGGGACTTTGGTTGCTGATCACTGGGCCAGGGTCTGCACCAGGTGTCCAAAGTGGAGGAAGGGGTTGTAGAGGATGAGAAGGAGCCCATGTCGCATCCTGAGCCTGATGACACAGGGAGAACATGGGCATCAACGATAAAGTGGATGATGGCATTTTGCCATCAAAGTCACCAGAGCTATAGGAGGATGAGAGCGTGAGCTACAGAAAGGGTGGCAGCACCTACAGCAAGTGGAATGCTGCAGCCAGGAGGTGGTGGAGATTGTGATCTTGGGTGGGGTTGGGAGAAGGATCCCAAGTGGGAAGGGACTGTGTTCATTGCCACCTTGGAATTCTGTCACACCTTGGGGGAGACCCCCACTTACAGGCTGGCCAGCAACCAGCCTGTAGAGAGGAGCTCATGAACTTTGAGCTGGACAGTGAGCACTAAGCCAGTCAGTAGTGATGGTTCCAAATAGAACTGGGAGAAGTTCAGCCTGGATGAGAAGCAGGACTTTTCTGCCTCCTCCACCACTGTCCTGAACAAGGAGTCTATGGTAAACATAAAGCTGGCCACAGCCCTGGTCCTATGTCAGAACGAAGGGCTGCTAGAGACCACAGCGCAGAAAGTGGCCCAGATGAAAGTTCCCAAGGCCCCACACTCAACCATGTACATACTGCATGGCTAATACAAAGGATAATACAGCCATCTACAAGTACAGCTGGTGGGAGGAATACTGTGGCTTCACCTAAGATTTTGAGGAGAAGTCTTGGCTACAAGCCTGATGTTAAGATCAAGTATGTGGGTGAGATGGGCAAGAAACTCACACCCAAGGAGGCTTTCCAGCAGCTGTGCCTCCAGTTCCATGGGAAGGGCTGTGGCAAGATGAACACAGACTGGCGAGAAGAAGCTGGGTGAGGAGGCACTTCTGAAGATGAGCTCCAGTGACAATCCCCTGGGCATTGTGGCTTTACCCCAAGAGAAGAAAAAGGCCCAGAAGGCCTGCACATTATGCTCAGCTGCAGAAGCAAGAGCAGAAACATGAATACTACCAAATGAAGCCACTTCCCTTCCAATTCCCTCCCCAACTTTAATGTTAAATAAAGTTCTTTAAAAAAAAAAAAAAAGTGAAAATAAATATTTTAGAAATACAAAAGAGGTTAAAATTCTCTGAGGAAAAAACCAAAAATGAGTCCAATTCTATAAAGACTCTTTGCCTCCAAGAAACAGGGATAAAGCTGAAGACCCAGTTTGGTTTTGCTGCTGAAAAATGTACAAAATAACTTAGAAAAACCAGTCGAGGTCAAATGTTGTGAGCTCACTACCTGTACCTGCCTTCTTTTGATCTGAGAAAAGTTGAAGTTCACAATGCAAGGCAGGGCTGATATAGGACAGCCAGTTTTCCATCATAGTCATCATAGTCTATCATCCTGCATTAACTTTCAAGTAAATGCTGAAGACAAACAAGCCCTTAGGAAAGTTTGAGCTCTTGCAGTTGGCTGACCGGATTTCCTCCATCGTAGTGCTCAAAATAGTTTACTTCTTGGCCAGCAGGAACATGGAAGTGCCTGGACCAACTGTCTTTAGCAAACGCCTGCTGCTTTCCAGCTCTCAAGGCTTGGGTTTGACATTGGCCAGTAGTTTTATTAGAAACTTGAGGTCTGTGTGATGTGGCAGCTGTTGGCTAACACCTAGAAAACCCTTGAGTTCATGGGAGATGAAGTGAAGCACCAGAATTTGCCCATCTGGTTCAGAGCACACTTAGTTCCTTTGACCTGCATACACTAGAGACTTGGCTCCCTTAGCTGTTCTCGGCTGAACTGCTGGTTCTGAGGGGTTAGCTGGCCCTTCTGAGAAAGGATGTTTGGAGAGAGCAAGCGAGCAACCCCTAAATCAAAGGCTTAGTCAGGATCCCAGGTTTCAAACCCAAAACCTGAGCACAGCTGATTGCAAATCACTAGAAAATAGCTTCCTCTCACTCACCAAAAGAAGCAGAATGAAATCAAGCAGTCTTGGGGAGTGTAGAGCCAGAAAGAAAAACCTCAAGTAGGAACCAAATCCATCTCTTAAGCAAATGCTGTAGTGACAACTTGGATGTAAGAATTCCCTGCAGAAGTCACCGACGAAAATGGACAGTCTCAAAGATAACCAGTTTGGATTTGAGGGCTTACTTGGGCAACATTAAAAAGCTTTCCATTGGAGATGACTGTTGAGTATAGTAACAAAAGTCACACATACTTTTCAAGATGGTAACCACTTTGCTCAGAGACTCTCAGTATTCTTCCTGTATATGCAGAGAACTGGCTTGCCTATTGCACAAGGTACTATAAGAGTCCAGGCTCGGTCTCAGTTGCCACCTTAAGAAACTCAGACATGATGGTGATGAGGAAGAGGTGACTACTGTTTTTATTCACCCCTCCCCCTCCCACACACACTTGTAAATGTGCCTTTGAAGAAAGTGAAGTGAGGATAGGATGTCTAGCCTCAGATCACAGCTGAATTTGAGAGGAATTTAGTAGTGTACAGGTTAAAATACACAAGACTTTGCTTCATATCTGAACGCACTGGGGTTTGAGCCTTCTGAGATGGCCAAAACATTTTGTCTGCCCAGCAGAGGTCAGAGATAAGTTTAGAATACAACTAGAAGCTCAGCTGTTTCCAGTTGGAATACATTCAACCCAAGTAATCCGTGGTCTTTAGCACCACCATCTTTGTTCCTCTTGGCAAACTTTCCTTTTTACTATGAAGCAGATCAGTGCTAATTCCTGCTGGTTTGGCACATCTCTGGGATGCTGAGATGTGCAGGGGGAGATATCACATAAAGCACCATTCCTAGACCCTGTTTTCTGATGCCCAAAGATCGGATTTCTGGGCCTTATATCTCAGACACAATCTTACTGCATTGATGACTAGTTAGGGGTTGGGGAGGGAGAAGACACTAGCTGACCCAGAACTCTGGAAATTTTCATACCACTTCTTGTGGTGTTCAGATGGGCTAAGGATGCCTTCCCACAGGCTGTCATTGTTCACTTACCTATCAGAAGATGTCACAGAATGGAACTTACTGCTTAGCTTCTGACACACTTCTGGAGTTCCCTCTAGATCCCAGTGGGAGGAAGTAGGATCTAGAATCCACTACCTGTGTGCTGGGCAAGCAGACAAGCAGCCTGAAAACAAACAAGCCCCCTCTGTACTAAGCCTGAAGAATCGGTGTTGCCTTCTCTGAGCAGAGCTGCTCAGGCCATACTACAGTCACAATTCTCTGCATTTCAGATTTGTCCTTTGAACCATTAAACTAAAACACAACACTCCCTCCCTCCCACCCCATCTTTTCTCTTCCATTCCCCTTCCCTCCCTGGCCCATTGCACGTTTCCCACTCCGTTTGAGGGCTGTTACACCTCAGCAAAAGCCAAGCTATACTGCTCGGGCTTCTTCCCACATCGCCGGGCAATTATGGCCAGATAGAGCATGAGGAGAGCCACCCAGTAGCAGCCATACAGGATGGCCCCAGAGACAAGGAAGGCTAGCTCAGTCTCACTGAACAGGTCCTGGCAATAAGCTGTGTAGGCCAGCCCCCCAAGAAGAACTGCCACCCAGATGGACACAGGGATGAGGCCAATGAAGTTCACCACAATGGTTTTTCGGCCAGAAGTGCCCCAGCCAGATTTGTTGATGGTAGCAATGGCAAAGATCTTGGCTGGCAGGAGGCTAGACATATAGAGAAGGGAGTACAGGGACATGAAGATCATCTCTGCATTGCCTCGAAGGAAGCAGGCATAGGTAGCCTTGATAATGCCCACCAGCTGCACTGTCAGCAGGAAGAGGAGAATGTTCCAGATACGGCCACGGTAGAAAAGCTGGATGACCGTGGCAATGAGGAAGAAGGGGAAGAAGCCTGTGACCACTGATTCATAGGTCATCCAGAGGTGGTGCTTATGGAACCACAGAGAGTTGTAGAGCCACTCCCGGAAGTAAGACTTGCTCCAGCGGGTCTGCTGGTTGAGCCACCGGAGGTACTTGGTGGGGGTCTCTGTGAGGCACTTGGAGCGCGCTGTATACTTAGTCCGGTAGCCAAGGCTCAGGACTCGGTTGGTAAGGTGCCGGTCATCCCCAAAGCTGCACTTGCTGCCTAGGAACTTCTGATGGTACCAGTCCTCCAGGAACTGCTGGAGGAGGCTGTTGCGGTACATGCCCAAGGGCCCACTAATACACTGCACACAGCCAAAGTAGGACTGGCAGGCCCGCTCCACATTGAAGGCCATCCAGTACCGCACACTGCTCAGGAAGGAGATCCAGGAATCGTATTTGTTGAGGATCTGTAAGGGAACAGAGATGCTGTGGACTTCCTCATCTGAGGACATGCGCCACAGAGAAGACACTAGAGACCATGAGGCCTCCCTACCATGGGTTTTATGGCCCATTGCTCTAATTCCTGGTCATCAGTTCTAGAACTGAGAAACCTGAGGCTCAGAGGAGGCAGCAATCCTGTCAGTCTCCCTAGCACCAGCTCTACCTTCCCACTTTGTCATCTGTACTGACTTTCTCAACTAAGCAACTATAGCAGTCAAAGCCACCTCCATCTCAGGAGAGTTTGTGGTGGTTGAGAGAAAGAAGTAAAATACCATTCATAGCCACTGTCCTGCTGCTTTAGCAGTTGGCAGGCCTCTAGGAAGACAAGGCATATTGCCTGCAGTATCCTCTGGAAGATGATCCAGCCCCGTATGCTTACCAGTGCTTTTTGCCCCAAATTCCTTAAAAGCAAGGGCTTCTCAAGGGCACAGTGTAGGAGCTGCGTACTACACCACCAGCTGCAAATGAAGTACCCTCTAGGACTTGTGGCTTCAATCCTATGCCCTCCCTGCTGTAAAGGTTCTCCATAACTATTCAGTGATTTTTTTTCTTCTGATGTTAAAAAAAAAAAAAAAAAAAGAGCAGAAAAGGAGTTGGGCAAGTGAGGTGTGAGTCCTTTCATACTGGTGAAAACTATCCAAAGGGAACTGCCCCCATATAATAGCAGGTCAAAAGACCTATTTCCCAGGCATACCCTATTGGATTCAGAAACAGTCCAGACCCTTCCCAGTAGGAATCCCTGGTTACTTCTTACTTGGACATCTCCCCCGACGCCCCCCACTTGAGGATCCTCCTCCAGGACTCGAAGCATCTCGATGGTGCAGGCTGGGTCCAGCACAGTGTCAGAGTCGCACACCTGCAGGGGAGTGCACTGTCAGCCCATTTTGACCTCACCTCAGGTTTATGCATGAACCCTCCCTCCCTCCACAAGGCTGCTCACTGACTGAGAGGGTGTGACCCCTCTCCCATGACTCACTTCCAGCGAGAGATCTATGCCAGATAGAACGGGAGAAAGGAAAAATAAAGGAAAAGGAGAGTTCTAATATCAGACTTGACAGTCACTAAGCTAAGGAAAGAAACCAGGAGACTGTAGGTGCCAAGGCCTGGGAAGGGGAAATTGCTTAGCATTGAACAAGTTTTTGCCCCCATAGAGTCGTCTCCACAGAAGATGGTCTCAAAACATTTCTCAGAAGGGTGAAAATGGCTCCTGTCAGATGCTCCTGCCCAAAGCAGTCCATGACTAGGTATTAACAGTGTCCCCACTTTAGCCTCTGGCCTCTAGGACAACCTCAGCCCCAGAGTGAGGAAAAGTCTATCCACAGCACCTCCCTGCCTGAGACCACGAACATGACCACCAGGCATTCCATGCTCCTTAACACAGACTCAGTCAAGTCTCTAAGACTGGGGCATAGGCTGGCCAACAGCTGCTCGTGCCTGGATCTATTCTGAGTTATTATTAGTTGAACCTGGGCTCTGAACATGCACCCTGTTGGTTGACTCCTTGTCTGTTTTCTAAAAAGTTACTGCAATGGTGGTGGGAATTGGCTTATGAACCCCTGGTTGAACTCTCTGGTCACTGTTCTCAAAGCAGAGACCAGTACCCACAGATGGAGCCAAACACTGTTCCTGCAGAAACCTAAACTTCTTTTACTGAAGTTGCTGACACAGGCCCTGAGATCAGTCCCCAGCACCAAAATAAATAAGGTTGCTGAATAAGAGCCTATCAGCCTGTAGGAAGGTTGCTGCCTTGGCCACCCCAACCTTTCTACATTCTCTCTCCATGCTGGAAGACAGGTTGGCACAGATAAGCAGCAATAGAAGGCTAAGGGGGAAATCAGGCACAGCCATCAACTGCAGGCTGGGTGCCTCACATGTGCTTCTTCCTACTTCCCCACCAGACATTCTCATATCCTGGTTGGAGCTGGGGAAGGTCCCAGAGAGCCTCCAGCTTCCTCATTTCACAGGCCAGCCATCCCAGTGCTGCTAATTCACCGCTACTTCCTGCTCTAACTCCTCACCCATTTTCCATGCTGCTTTGCCACCTTCACTCCAGGGAAGTCTTTCTAGCTGAGTAGGGTTGGGGCAGGAAAAGCCCTGTACTGCCTGGGTTTCCCTACTGGCAGGAGCAAGGTTCTCTCCCATGGAGGGGAAGGCACACCCTCAGCAGGACTGCTGGAAGGTGGGCCATAATCCATTAAGCATTCATTGGCTCTAGCTTAGGCCTGTCATACAGTGGTCCCAGGACCATGAAGAGAAAGGCAAGGCTCAGGTAGTGGTTTGTTTGTGGACCCACCAGAGCATGTAGGAAATGTGAGGGAAAGGGAGCTGTGTGGCAGACCAGGTTTGGGGATATTGTGCTCAAGGGAGTGGATGATAAAGTTACTGTGGCTTGAGCATATGGCATGCCTTAAGGCTTTTTCCTAAGATTTTGGGTCTCCAGGAAAGTTTCACCAAGGCCTCACAACCCCAGTGAACTTCAGAATTGAACAGCCTAGGCACACCCCTCCCTACATGGCTGACAATTTTCAAAACAGAAGACTATGCCAGCCAGTTTCAGATAGGTACACTATAGATTACTTAAATGGTATCAGAGGACTGAACATGCTACCAGCAAGACTGAACTAGCACAAAAGTGGGCTATCAAAATGGCCACTATTCTTTCAAGCGTTTATGAAGTGATGGGCAAAACCCTGTGGCAAATAACAGAGAAGGCCCAGGCAGTGTGGATGTGGATGCTGTGAAGAATTCTGGGCAAGAATCTAGTCCTGAGTTTTCAGTTCTGTTGGGTGATGAAATGTATCTTCATCTTCACAGTTCCCTCTAGGTTATTTGAAAATTGAAGCTGTGTCAACTTTGTCAACCTAATTAAAAGTTTCAGGCTGTTAGCAAGGGCCGCTTTAACCAGAGGTGGGCAGGGTCTAGTCAGGGTTCCAGCCCTACCAAAGCTGCTAAAAAGTGGTACCTATGTTCTTCCACCTCTCACTTATCATGAACTTGACACTAGGAAGAGTGGGACTTTGGGGGCCATGACTTAAACATCTGAGTGCTTCTGATGAGGATTTCTTTGTTCTTCACCACACTTCTTCATGAAGAGGCTTATCCCAGTGTTGCCCCTGTGTACAAGGGCTAAGCGCAGATCTGAGGTGGGCTGCCTGGTTTTGCACCTTGCTAACAGTAGGCAAGTTACTCTGCACTTGTTTCACCTTCTATGAGCAGAGATACTGACAGCACTTATTCCCTACGGGTGCTGTGGGATGAAGAGCCAGTGTGTTTGAGGAACCTATAATGGTGCCTAGTATGAAGTGAATGCTATGCACCAGTTTGTTGCTGGTTATGGGGACACTAATTCAGAGGTCTGTCCAAAGTTACCAAGCTCTGGAAGGGCTGTTTGACCCCAGGACTGCTTCAGACCACCGTGCCTTGTTTCCTTTTTCAGTGCAGAAGAGGGGTGTGCACAGTACAGAACCTAGACCTAAGGCTCCTGTAGGAATATGACCAGCTGGCTGGATATGGCCCCATGTACACACATGCCTAGGGAGGCATTTTACCTGGATGTAGTCCACCGAGTCACCAAGGGCTTTGAAGGCTGTGTACATGACCTCGCGCTTGCCTCCCCACTTCTGCATGATGCACGAGAAGGTGCTGGCCCATACCACGGTGCGCACGCGCTCCATGCCCTCCTGCAGACTGGCCTCCGTCTCGCCCTCACCCGCCTCATGGAAGTTGCTGCGCCACACAAAGAAGCCAGCTTGCTCAGTGCCGCCGAGAACCTCGTGGAAGATGTCCAGCATGTAGGCGTCCTCCTGGCGATTGCCATCCACCACCATGACCACCTTGAGGTCTGGGAAGGCGATGCGTTGGGCTGAGCGCAAGCACTTGCGCAAATAGTCAGGGTCCTCCTGGTAGGCGGCAATGCACAGTGCCACAGAGCGCCGCCGTGCGCTGGATAGCTTCAGTGGCCGCCCTGCCCTGCGCATGCGCCGGTGCTCCAGGAAGGCGAACAGGCTCTGGATGAGCAGGTGCAGGCCCAGGATGGCGCCGTATAGGCCGAAGGAGAGGTAATGTTTTTCTGTGTGGATGAACTGGTAGCCTGTTACATAGGCTGCCAGGATGCCACCCAGCACCGCTAGGGCAAACAGGCTGGTGCCCACCACACGCAGCGCTGTTGTCAGCTGCACCGGCATCTGGTGGGAGGAGGGAGATATTGGGGTCAGAAAGGAGATATTTCCAGCCAATGGGGGCACGGTGCAAGCATTCTCTAGGCCCAAAACAGGGGAAATGACCAACTAATAAAGACCATTACTGGTGGAATGTTTTGCCTAGCAAGTGCAAGGTCCCAAGTTCAATCCTCAGTCCTGCAAAACAGACAAAACATTACGCTTTTTGAGAGTGACTATGACTGAAAAGTCACAAGACAAATTACTGGAGTTCAAATCCCAGCTCTGCCACTTATTATGTGACCCCTTAGTTATTTCATCTGCAAAATACAGGTTGCAGTACTAACCTCATAGCATGTCTGAGAATAAATGAGTGACATATGTAAAGAGAGCAGAGTAGCATTTATTATTGTCAGACTAACAAAGGCAAGCGTTATGGGACACCCTTGGTAGATGGCAGATGGGTATCTGCCTGCCCTTAAGGTCATAATAGGTTACGTTTCAGTGGGGTGAGCCCAGTAGGACAACTCTGCAGACAGTGTGGAGAGGAGGGGCAGGGTGGCAACCAGTGGCCTAAGAACCACAACCTCTAGTGCGTGAGAGACTGCTTTGTGGGAGGCGACTGTTCCCAGGTAAATCAAGGCCCAAGAAGAAAGCAGAGGAGGAAAAGACAAGAAGCTGCAGGAAACAAAGGGGGAGGGGCTTGAGGAAACAAACAGCTTGCCTTTCTCAGAAAAATCAGAAAGAAACTTCCCTGTGTTTTCTACTCTCTCACCTTTTCCTCATTTACTTGAGAGGCAGGAAAGAAAGGGAAAGCAGACCAAGGAAAGAGGAAATGAGAGCTGGGGTGTGGACAGCCCTTGGAGAAGCCCAGCATAGAGAAAGGATGAGAAAGGAGCACTAACGCCAGAGGCAACCGCAGCCACCACTGCAGCAGCCCAGAGAGGTGGCTGCCTGGGGAGCCCCATCCGCTTGGTCCTAGTGCCCGGTGGAATTTCCATGTGTGTCCCCTGCCTAGCCACTTCTGGAAACCATGCCAGGTTTAGGTTTCTGTTTGCCACTAAGTCAGCGTCTGCCCTGTTAGAAACAGCTGTGCTTTAATGAGAAGAGAATCCAGGATTTGGCACCAGAGAGGTGACTTGAGACATGCTCCCCCTCCCTCCTGGTTATCCGACCTTGCCCTGCCAAGTTCCCTAAGACTTGGTCTCTCATGGCAACAATGGGGGTCCTAACAGTTTTCTGCTTCACAGATCTCAGATACATGGTTGCCCTGATAAAGTAAGTGGTAAGGCCGACTGTGGTTTCTTCCAGAGCCCAGGTGGGCACAAGGCCTGAAGAGGGGGAAGGAGAGGCTGGCAAGGTTAGCTCCCTGCCCTACGTCCGTTTCCACCCTGGCCTTCTTCCACCTCTCCTGCCACTTGCCCCATCTGGAGATCCTGTTTTCACCCTGGGACTCCAGACAATGACCTGAGCTTGCTCCAACTCCAGGTCTCACTACAGCCGAGGTACCCCACCCCAACACCGGCACACTTTCCTGCCAGGGGACACGTCTCACATAGGACGACTTAAGGTACACAGTCTCTGCCTAAATCCGCCCGCGACTGGAGCACAAGCAGCCTTCCAGAAGCTTGGATCGGAAAGGGCTGCTGGCAGCTTGGCCTCTCTCTCCGGGAAGCGGGGCCTCCGGGATCTCGGCCGCCAGCCCCGGGAGCCGGCCGCGGGCTTCCTCTGCAGGACTCCCGGCCCCTCCTAGGCCCGCCTCCCCGCACGCGCCTGCGACGCAGGAGCCCCCGGGCCAGTATGCACAGCCCAGGAGCGCCCCGCTTAGCTCTTGGGCTCACATGCCAGGGGCGCCGCGGGCAGGGGAGGGGGTCGGGGCCAGCCCGGAAACCTACCGGGCCCTGGCGCACCGCCGCGGTGCAGTGCCCACCAGGTCAAGGCGGCCGCGAAGGCACTCACCACGCTCCTCACTCGGCTCGAGCCTCGCCTACCCGCGAAAGAGGCGCCGGCCACACCCACGTGCCGGTTTCCCACGACCCAGACGGGAAGGAACGGAAAACCCAAGAAATCACAGTCGGACCAGGCCCTGTTCATCTTCCCAGGGCCTTAGTTACCTTGGCAAAAGAGTGCCTGCAGACAAAGGCGGCCTCCCCGGTGTCGCCTGTCCCCTCCTTCCTAGGCCGGGACCCCTCCCCCGCAGGAATGAGAGACACTACCTCTGTATCCCAGTCCTCAGCAGAGGATCCAAGAAGGTCCTACAGCCGGATACCCCACGTGCAATCACGCGCCAGTGCGGGCTCTGGCTGAGGTTCCCTGCCCAGACAGGGTGCTGTCACCCCAAGCTGGAGGAGGGGGAGTGTGATCCTATACCTAGGGCCGCCTTTCCTACCCTACCCCGCTTCGCTCAGAAGGGATCCACAGGAGCCGGCCCAGCCTAGCAAAGGCGCACTCCGGTTTAAGGGCACCAGGCTGGGGGAGCTCCCCAAGACCGGCTCCCCTCGGACCGCAAGGGAATGAAAAACCTCCGCAAGGGCGCACGCTTCCCTAAGCGCCCCCGAAACTTTGAGAGGCTGCCTAGTCTGCAGCGCCTCTCCCACTGACAGGTGCGCCCTGCTGCGGGGCCACATGCGGCGGGACGGAAACTTGTACACGAGGCGGGGGCTCTTCCCCAGCGCCTAGGCGCCCTCGGCCCCTCTGAGCCCGCAGGGGAAGAGGAGCTCGTCTCGTGGACACGTGCCACCCAGCTGATCTTCAGGAAACTGGGCGCGGGGGACCGTGGTGTCCCGGCAGGTGCGAAGCCCCTGCGGGAGTGGATGGGGGAGGGGTACTCCAACCACCCTCGTGCCCCGCACGGTCGTCCGCCCCCCCAATTCATTCACAAAACGGGAGCCGCGAAGGAGGGAGGGAGCGGCTGGAGGAGAAAGGGAGAAGGGGTCCGTGGGGAGGGGGCTGCAGGATCAGCCGCCGGGAAGCTGCCACGGCCCCCACCGGCCTCCCAGCGCTGGCCACGGCGCCCGCAGGGCGGGGAGCAGGAGGCTCCGGCGCCCAGCCCCGCGCGGCCCGCCCCTCCGAGTGGCCGGCCCGCGCTCACCGTGCCTTTTGCCGGCTGCCCGCGCTCCGGTGCTCAGCAGGCCCGCGGCGGTTCCATGCCCCTCCTCCGGCTGCTCGGGCTCCTCGCCACCGCGCCTCCTCCGCGTGCGCCGCCGCCGCCGCCGCCGCGCGCTCCGACTGACGAGCGCCGGCCCCGCCGAGCTGCCTTAAGTACCGAGCGCGTCCCCGCGGGGAGAGGCGCCCTCCTCCGGCCCTGGGGCCGAGAAAGTTGGCAGGAGTGGGAGGACTCCCTGGGGGCCGCGGGAGCGCCCTGTTCCCGGCTCGCCACCACTGGCACTCGCGGGTCACGGGGTCCCGCGTGGACGCGGCTCCTCCGGCTCGCGTAGACTCGGTGTCCGCGCCCTCTCGGAAACTGGGTTCCCCCAGTGCGGCCGAAGGCGGGGTGCTCCGCGGTGGCCCAGGGGCCACAGGCCGGGGTAGGCGATCATTGTGCCCAATCCTGAACCTGATGCGTCGTTAACTTTCGAGAGAACCCGCATGGACCTCAAAATCGTTACTCGCGGTCCCCGCCCCCACGCCCCGCTTTCTAAGCCTGGAAACCTACTCACCCTCAAAGCCGGCGAGCCGGGCAAGTCTCCCCGACTCCTGAACGCCAACGGGCTGTTCGCTGGGTTGGGGATCCCTAAAACAAAGGCAGCAGGACCTTCCTGGTGGCAAGAAAGAGAAGAGAGTAATCGTCAAACACAAAAAAGCTGGTCAGAGAAGGTGTTAACTGCGACCAGCTGAGCTTGAATTCCGCAGCGGGGCGCTGATGACATTAACGCTGTTTGCGAAAGCTTTTTCCAAGGGTCTTACAGGACCCTAGGGGATTCCTGGGTCTTAGGCCAAAACAATTCCTCCTCCCCTCTTTCACACCTTTATTTCCGGCATCCCTGACCTCTTCCATTCCCAACTGACCTCCCCCCAGTCGTTTCCAGGTTCCTAGAAGCTGAAGCTGGACTTGGGCGACGTGAAGTGGAGGGGGTCAGGGAGAGGAGGGCGTCGTTAGCAGAGGAAGGAAGTTTGGAACCAGCTGAAAATCTGAGCTCTTACATCTCAGAAAAACTTGAAGAGAAATTATAATTAAAGACCAGTTAAAAAAATGAATTTACACGTCCTCCAAACACACCTGAGCTAACTTCCCAAGCTGCACCTGAGCTGCAGTGTTGAAGCTGCTCTTCCCAGAAGTCTTAGGGGCCGGGCACTTGCCTGCCCTCCCTCTCTTCTGCCACAGAGCTCCCTCCTCAGCTCCCAAGCAAATGAAGGTCCCAGGCCCTTCTGCTTCACCTGCTCCCATCCTACAGGACAAAAATTAAGCTGTGTTACACTGCTTAAGAAGCTTGTATGTTACAGGGGTTAAAAGTGTGGCAGTAAGTCTCATTGTCTCCTCCTAGAAATGGGGTTGCTCTGAGGATTGTTAGAAGGTCTGAAGAGATGGCAGAGAGAAAGCACATGGAGTTCATCCAGAGAGCGACATCCTGGGTCCATCCCTCTAGTGCACACAGTTCAGAGGCCTGTGTTAGGATTAAGTGAAAACTTCCTGTCTCTATTGCATTATGGACTCCTGGAGCCCTGGGCCAGAGACTTGAAAGTCTATCTGATCCTCCCTTCTCCCACCCACAGTAGCAATCTGCAATATCTTAGAGAAAACAGGCAGGGGTGAGGCACAGGCAAAAATGGGTGCCCTGACTCCATGCAGAGTAAATGTCTCATGGAGAGAGTCATTTCTCCTGGGGAGGAAGGTGCTCTGTTGTCAGGAGAAGCCAGACTTTTATGTGAAATCTCCTAAACTTTATGTGTTGGCAACTAATTCAAGTTCTGCAAAAAGTACTTTGTAGGTCAGACAAAATGTGTCTTGAGTCATATCCAGGCCTGGTTGCAGGTAAATAGCACTCAACAGAGTAGCCAGTGTGGGAAGATCTTTTTCTGCCCTCAACATGACTCCTCTGGGAGCATGTTCCTTTCCCTGGGGCAGCCTGGGACAACCTCATGCCTGGTTAATATCTAAGGATCCAACTATGAGCCACAGGCTTCTGGCCTGTCTCTTTCTCTAGGGTAGGAATGCTTCAGTCCAAGCTCACCTGTCAATTAAAGCCTCTGAGACAACGGGTCCGGGGCAACCTCAAGAGAACAGTCCATACCAATTGGTTTTGTCCCTAAATGGCTCCCTGGGAGGAGCCAACTGTCATGTTCTGTGGTGCAGAGCTGGGGACCTGGTGGTATCAGGCAGATAAGACAGCCTTTTCCTTTGTGGGCCAGCTATGCCAGGGAGGATTTGCCAGTAATTAGCCTCCAGTTTGAGGTGCCCTGTTTGCATTCATCCCTTCACTGGGGAGCTGAGTGGGGGAGTCTTTAAGAGGCTGATACAATAAAGCGGAGTTTACCTCTGCTTACCACTGGGGATTTAGAAATAGGGCTAATTCCTTACCCAATCACTGCAAACATGACTTCAGATGTTGCTGAATTGGCTTTTACACAGGTTGCAGAGGCTAAGCCTTCCTGTTTAACTCAGGTAGAAGATTCAGGCTGTACTTCCATATTCACTTATCACATGTGGAAGGCCTGCTTCAAGCGGAGAGAGAGGCTTTGGCATCCATAGGTTTCAGGCTGGTCTCTGCCATCTAGAAAGTTCTGTGTTGAAGACAAATACACTTGAGAAATTAGGTCACCATACAAGGCAGGTGGTTTTTTTTTTTTTTTTTTTGCGGTGCAGGGGCTTGAAAAGGGTCTACACCTTGAGCCACTCCACCAGCCCTATTTTGTGATTTTTTTTTTTCAAAATAGGGTCTCAAGAACTATTTGCCCGGGTTGTCAAAGTTCGATCCTCCTGATCTCTGCCTCCTGAGTAGCTAGAATTACAGGCGTAAGCCACTGGCCCCAGCATAAGGCCATAATTGAATGTTGAAGAGAGGATCTCCCAAGAGAGATCTCTGTGAGCTGGAATGGGATGGGCAGAGTTCAATGGAGAACCTGCAAAGCTTAAGAACATTCTGAAAAGGAAGATGAGCTTACAAGGCAGGGCTAAGTATAGGAATGGGTGAGGACAGCAAAGAAAGGCCTGGATGAAAGAAGAAATTTATACTAAAGAACTTCTAACAGTGTCAACTGATGAATTTTGCTATTAAGAGGATGCTAGGGACAGACTGGAGGACCCTGAGTGACCGACTGAACAAACGAGGGGTTTGGATTTTGTCTGGGAGATTACAGGTATTGTTTGGGAAGGCTGGGTGGTGACATCTTGGCTAAAAGACTGGGTATAGGTCATAGGAGTTCTGTTAAGAGGCCAATAAACCAAAGAGGACTGAGACTGGGCTGTAGTGACAATGTAGGGTGCTGCCTTCAGGAGGGCAGGCAGTGTCAACCCCAAATGACAGTAGACTTGTGCAGTGAGGGGAGTCTAGGGGGCCTTTCTCAAAGCCCCTTGAGGTTTGAGGTTACTGAAGCTGACAGTTCCACAATGATGTCACTTTTTAACTGATTTTCAAATCCAAACTCACAAAATGCTCAAATACCTTGCACCAAAAGGAGTCTGCCATTTGATCCTTTTGTCATCACCTGGTGCTAGAAACTAGGAACATCCTCTAGCCTGGTGTTCCACTCTAATGGCCTCCAGGTGGTGACCTGCTTGAGGAGGGGGTGGAGGAGATTCCAGTTCCCTGACTACCCCTCACCCTCGGTCCTCAAGCTTCAGTGATCCTTTTGGCCCCCAGCCCATAACTTCCAGCAAAGCAAAGCTGACTGGGAGACAGCAGCCAGGTCACCCAGGTCTCCCACAATCTTTTCAGGCTGTGTCCCCTCAACTTCTCCTTGGCTAACTACGCATAGAAATCTTTTGAAGCTAATAAAGATGGATTTAAAATAGCTTCCAAGGCCAGGCACCTGCAGTCCCAGCTACTTGGGAGGCTGAGGCAAGAGGATCACTTGAACCCAGGAGTTCAAGAGCAAACATAGTAAACCTGTGTCTCCGAAAAGAAAAAACCAAAACCAAACTCAAACCCAAACCAAACCCAAGCCAAAACCAAAACCAGTAGCTTTCAGATAGTAGCAGATTATGTTATCTTCCCTTTACTGACTAAATAGGGCTTTTTTTCTTTTCAGGGCTGCTTTAAGCTGCAGTACTAGTTAATACATAATTCAAAGTGGAAAGTTTGCACCTTGAGTACAGGAGGCAGCTACTCCTTAACAAAGTTGTCCTTTCACAACAGTGGCCTCTTACTGACAAGTGCTTGCACTGGTGCCATTTCTAGAGGCTCTGTTTGAAGAAGCAGAATGGAGCACCTTTCTGGGCTGCGTCACAATAGTTAGATTTTTCCTGCAGTCTCTCCCTCCTTTGATAGGAAAATAGTATTTGTTTCAAATTAATGGTCTTCTCTTCTGCTGGAGGAGTGGGCAGCCCCTGCTAAGGGAGGGGCCGGGTTCTTTTTTTTTTTTTTTAATTAGGTTTGTAGTCTCCCACTACCACAAATTTTGCAGTTGAGTTTTCCACATTTGGGGAAATTGCAGGGGTAAGCACATCTGGAGTGCAATGGATAAGCCTCGCTCTGGGAAAACCACCTTTGTGACCATGGTATCTCCCCTACCGGATAGAGGGACTAGGCTCTTGATGATGCCCGTGAAGGTCAGGATTAGGGTAACCCAACATCAAACCAGATCTAGGGGTGTTTTTCTTGGAATCAATCCTAAACAAAAAGGTTCTTCCTGGCCATCTTTCCTTTCTCTCCTTCCCTAGGTGAGAGTGCAAAAATCCAGAAGGTAGGCATAGGCCCAAAACACTTAGGATGCACGGTTAAGCAAATGTCCTAGATATAAAGTTGTTATGTATGAATGACTATATTTCTGTTGATTTCATTAACATTGTATGAATTAAAAGGCAGATCTATGAATTAAAATGTTAAGATTTGAAATTAAGATCAGATTTAAGCTGGCTTGGCAGTGCACACCTGTGACACCAGTACTCAACTTGGGAGGCTGAAGTAGGAGGATTGAGAGTTTGAGCCTGGGTTACATGGTAAGACCCTGTCTCAAAAAAAAAAAATCAGTTTTCATACTATATTATTAGTTTTGATGTTATCTTAAGATCCAGTGGTAGAAGCTGGGAGCTGATAGCTCATGCCTGTAATTCTAGCTATTCAGGAGGCAGAGATCAGGAGGATCTCAGTTCGAAGCCAGCCCTGGGCAAATAGTTTTTGAGACCCTATCTCAAAAAAAAAAAAAAAAAATCACAAAAAAGGACTGGCAGAGTGACTCAAGCAGTAACAATGCCTGCCTAGCAAGTGTGGGGCCCTGAGTTCAAACCCCAGTATTGCCACACACACACACACACACACACACACACACACACACACAC